TTTGCTGCAAACTCAGAGACAGCTTTATCCTTATTGTTCCTGGGCTGTTACCTGCAATCACATCCATGTTCATACTTTCACCCCAAGCTACCAAGGATTACAGGAAATGTGGTTACATCAGGCTGGCAGCCAGTCACCAGTGGGCTTCCACGGGGATCCATTTTATGGCGAGTTCTCTTCAATGTTTTTATCAATGGTTTGAATATGGGACTTGAAGGTGTGTTAAGTAAGTCTGCAGACAGTACTCAATTGTGAGGAGCTGGCACTGTCCTGAGGGCAGAGAGATCTTGGCAGAGCGGGGGGCTGAGCAATCACCAACCACGTGAAGTTTAACAAGAGTAAGTGCTGGATTGTACATGGCGGGCAGGAAGTGAGCTCTGCTGTGCTGACAGCAACAGGACATGAGGAAATGGCATGGAGCTGTGTCGGCGGAAGGTCAGGTTGGGGTTAGGAAAAGGTTATTTACCAGAGTGTGGTGGGCATTGAACAGGTGGTTGGGTACAGCCCTGAGCTGCTGGAGTTCAAGGAGCATTTGGGCAGTGCTCTCAGATGTAGAATTTGGGCATTTTGTGTGGATCCAGGAGTTGGACTCCTGGAAACTCCGGAGTTTGAACTCCGGAGATTCTGTGATAATTCAGAAATAAGGAAAGAAAGAACAAAACCTGCTAGTTCTAGAAGGGCAGATCTTAAAAGTAGCCATCTGCCATATTTGCATCACATAAAAAAAAACAATGCAGAACAACCCAAACATCCGTGGTTACTAGCAAAGTACTGGAATGAGATCTTGCTTTTGGTAAAATCTATTCTTAAAAGTATGCCTGTAGAGAACAGCAGATAACCATCATATTACCATTCTAATTTTTACTGGCTCTGCTTTTGTTCCAGGAAAACTAATTACATTACATTTGGCCTAGGAGTAAATATTCTACCTTTTTTGATTTGTGCAGTACACCTGCAATTCTTGAATTCAGATACTTTAGTGCCAGCAAGAAGGAAGTGAAACTGATACCTCTCTCATGCCAGGTTATGTGCTCTGAGATTTGGGTGGAAAAGGAATAATTCAGCATTTATAAATGGTAGTATAAAATTATTCCTATTGCAGTAGTCAACAACCACATGTGCACAAAACAGCATGAGAGAGAAGCCTTAGTATCAGCTCTGGATATTACAATTTTCTTTTTAGAAATTGTTAAGAGCTATGTCTCTTATGGCTTTTATCTTCTCCATACAGAGCACTATTCAACATCTTGCATATGCAGAAACAGTTGCAATATCTAAGGAACAGACTTCCATTCCTTAATTCTAAAATTAAATTTATTTAGTTTCTGATTTCTTTAACAAAAATGGAACTATTGCAACGTACTGCCAGTCCCTCTTTCCTAGTTGCTTTTGAACCAATTTGAGAGCAAGGCAGATGTTTTGAAGAGTTCTGGGATGCTTCTCAAGAATGAGTCGTTGAGGTTTCATACTACCTAAGATTGGAGGAAGGGATCAAATGTATTTTCAGTCAAAAGCAAATCCAGCAGTAGAGAAATAGAGGTCATTAAGGTCTGCAAATTCAGCTGCCTGTGTTTTTTCCAGACCTTCACTGTTCTCATTCTGTGTAACTTGACAAACTCAGTTTAATTTTTGCTCAGATGGTACTAGTTTATTTTCTGTTTGCACCAGAGCCTTCTTGACCCTTGTAGCACACATCTTCTGTCCTCCTGTTTCTTACTCTCATTTTAGAGAGTTTGCTCATCCCCACATGGTTAATATCATCCTTGGGCCGGAGAGGTTTGCTGGCTGACATATCTGTGAACTCTTTTCACAATGTTTTCTTATTAATTATATGATACGTGCCAGTGATTGGAGCTTGTTCCCTTTGTGTTTGAATATTTTTCAAATGACCTGCAGAACTAAAGGGGTGAATAATCAATGCTTATTCTAAGGAGGAAAAACAACAAACAAACAGAAAAGCCATCTTGATCATTGCATTTTATTATTTTGTAATAAAGTAACATTTATGAATTTTGAAAATGTCTAATAGAACATATAAAAAAAAGGGCAGGAATCATAACAGGCAGTATCTTCTTCTTTGAGATTAGCTGTATAGATACTCAAGTTTGGTATTTCAAAGCTCAGACTGAAGGAAACCTTTGTGTGGGTCTGCTCTGCTTTTCAGACTGCCTTGCAGGTCAGGAACAAAAAATGCTGCCTTCATATATGAGTCTGGTCAAATGGTTACTCCATGCAGCTGACCCTACTGTCATTAACTCATAGCTACATAATTACTTTATCTCCTAATTGCTTTATTTTCTTTAAATAGCCTTCAATTCACTGAGGATCTTCCCATCTATGAGCAGTTTAGTTCACCTACTAAAGAATCCACTTCACATGGGGTAGAGAACTTGCTATGGATTGGATATACCCCTGAAATGTCTTTAGTGAATTAAACACCACAGCAAGTATCTGGGTTCCATCTGTTAATAAGATACGCTCACATGTTGTATAAACTAAAGCCATATTCAAGCTTCCAGGTTCAGAAGAAATTTTCCAGCTACTGCACTTAGAAAATGTTCCAAGTGTGAATAAAGGTTAGAAATACATGCCTCCCCAAGTCTGCAGGCAAGCTGTGAAAATGGTAAGGAAAAAAAAAAAAGGAGGGAAGCAGCTCACATCCCCTTAGCTTCACTGGTAGGTCAGCTAAATACGTCCATTTAGGCTAAAAAGAAGGGACTTTGCTACTTTCACACTGAACAGTCCATGCAGTAACAAAACCTCAAGCAAAGTTAATCTTTTCCCACTGACTTCAATAAGCATGATTCAGGGGAGAGAAGAGAATGCTGTAAATACATTCTGTTGCACAAACCACATCTTCTTTACTGCATAAATTGGACACCTAAGAAATCTGGCTGTATTTAAGACATTGCAGCAGAATAGCTTTTAAGCAGAAGATTCAAGAAACCCTTAAATCTCAGGCAGCAGCTACAAATTGGTTGGAACTTTGAATCAGTGTAGGTGAGAATAAAAAGCACTACAGAAGCATAAAGCAAGATATTTTAATAAACAAGGTGATCATTGTGGTAGACCACTATACTTCCATACTGCATGTATAAGTATCCATCGATCTGTAACATGTTTAGAAATACAGAAGTAAAGATGATCAGCTAATTCAGTTTAAAGTGCTATGCCATTGGCTTGGCAGCTTTTGTCCAGGCTGCTGGCATCCAAGATAACAGTACACTTTCCTGCCTCCTGTTTTGTCCCTCAACAGATGGAGCGATGATCCTGTTCCTGAACCTGACTTTAAAACCTGAAGCGGAGGGAGCAGTTCCCCTGTCCAGGTGAGAGCCACAGCTGACGATGTAGTAGCCTGGTTTGCAAGGCTTCCCCTTTGAACAGCACCAAATGCTATCTGAAACACAGCTCTTAGCACCCACCCAATACCCCAGCACAGACAAGTATTTTTCATCTCCTCCACTTCTGGCCAAGGCACTGGGATCAGTTAGCCAGCACAGAACATCAGAATGGTCCTCCATCTGATTTATAGATGAGTTTGTGTAAACAATACTTTCTTCAAGTAGCAAATACAAAAATAGCACAATGAACTTCACACCAAGTTTAGAAGATTAACTCTGGTCTAGTTGTTAAGCACTACAATTGCGTAAGTTTTGTTTTTCAGCTGCATTTCAGGGACTGAAACGTTGGGCAGCTTTTTATACCAGACTGGCATTTGAGCTAGTTTCCTTCGTAAGTGTGCACCACATTCTTATCTGTATGTTCTGCTTAAGGTTGCACTGTGAATTTTTTTAAGCATTCTTCCTTTTCACTTCATCACATCACTGTACTATTTTATCCACGTGTGCATAGTACTCCAGACAGACAAAGAACACAGTTCTTGTAGATTATCAAGTGAAGCAAGAACACCCCCTTTGGGTAACGTACAGTCACTGCAGGAAGTATTGCTGTTTCCCTTAATGATTATTTGGCTGTGGTTATGGCAGAAAAAAACAAAAATTGTGACTGAAGATCTGATTGTCCTGAAGAAAAAAACCAACCTGTTATTTACAAATGCAGGTATGTTTGGACTTTCCAATGTTCTTGCTCTGTACTCCAGTAGCTTCAGCACAATAAAGGTATTTTATCTGGAAATGTTATCAAGAAGAGAAAAGATGTACCAATTATCTCTGCTTTATCAGTTCAAAGGTCTGAAGTTATTTTGAATGTGTAGGCCTCTGTCAACATAATAAATTCCATCATGCTATTCTCTTTTAATACACAACAGACTAGTGAAGGTGCATCATGACATACAGGGAACAAATTGGAGTGTTGCAAAACCTCTTTAAAAGAGGTGGAGACTTGGAAACAGGGAGCAAGAGTCAGTTTATAAGGATGTGACAAACATGTCCTGAGGTTAGAAGCCTCAAAATGTATTACAGGAGCAGTGGAGCAAAAAAGTTCAAAAGAATAAGCATACAACTAGTGGAACCAATTTTGTCCCAAACTTCTGAAAACTGGGTGAAGTTGATTTCTTTAGGAACTTTTCACATATTTTGGATTTTTTAAATACATCCCTTAGGCTGACTTATTTGCTAGAGCTCTCCATAAAGAGAAGACCATGGGGACAGGATGTTGGAAAAAATTCCTCTAGTGCTTTGCTTGTTGGCCAGGTTCCAACTGTGCTTCTAGTGAGTTCAAAACTCTGACCTAGCTCCTGAGGGGAAGAGTTTGACTTGGGCCATGGGGGAGGGGAAGAGCTTATAAATTTATGGCATTTCAGCAGGGACAGATAGCAGGATACTTTTCAGATTAATCAAGTAGTTGTTTCACTAAAGAAACATTGCCTCTTCATTAAGGACTACCCCCCCCAACAGCAGGCATTGGGCTTCACAACTTTTCTAAAGGCTTCACAAACTTTTCTAAACCTTCAATACTTCAGAGTAGGCAGTTGTGCAAAAAACCACTCATATCTTCTATTAAAATCAGTCTGTTATTTAAACAGGAAAAAGACAGAGACCTAAAATTGTTGGTTTGCTTTAATTATTATCATACAAATTCACTTCAGAAAAAGAGGAAATGTTTTCAGAATAGATTTTTCCTTTCAAAAACTCAATGGCACCTTCAGTCGTCAGTTCTTGAAACCTCTTGTTCAGGACCTGGAACGAGAGAATACAAAAGGATACATTATTTTTAGTAAACTACCCTGTCCCACAAACCAAGCCTTCGCTGATGGCAAGGCCACAGGGATTTGCTGTATTTTGAGAAGTTAATTTGAAGAATTAATCCTGTTAATACAAAACAACAAACAGCAACTTAAAAAAATGCAGAAATAAGCCAAAGGATTTTTAGATACAAACAATTGAGGTGCTTGGCTTTTTTTTTTTTTTTTTTCCTGTTCCTGAGCTAATATTTATTTCACTGCCAATACTAAGTGGTAGTTTGTCTTTCAGAGTTCCTCTGTTATGACACAGCCACCTTCTATGTAGATATGCTACACTGTTGTCACTCCGATGAAAGCCCATAATTCCCTTTAGAACTCGTTCTGCCAAACAAACATTCTCATTATTACGCTGATGACATGACCTAAACAAGAGAAAACAGAAGGACTCTTCTTACCAGAATCACATGATAGCCCAGTTTACTTAGATGGCGCTTCTTCATTGCAAGCTTCCCTTGGGGGTGTGTTGTACCCAAACAAAAAGCAGAGGGAGGAACAAAGAGAAAAGCCAGTCTACAACCAAGAAGAGTATAAGACAATGATTCAGTAGTGCAGAATACTTAGGTATCTTTCTGATAGGCTAAGTATTAAGACTGCACACATTTCATTATCCCTTTTTATTTCTTCAGACTTAATTGCAACTTTTTTCTATTTATTTTTGCCCATTTACCCAAACTGGGTAAAGAGCAGAATTAAGTCCTTAAATCTCTACTTCCCCTATAATAAGAAGGAAATATTCTGCATTTTGACAGCTTGTGCACCTGTTTTGATCATTTGCTAACACTCAGGATCAGTTACTTCTTGCCATTGAACCCACTTAGAAAGGCAAGAAAATGAACGCTTTGGAAATCAGTTCTTGTTTCACAATTCACTAGCTAAAGCAAATTATAGAAAATACATTGCTGTACAGTGATCCAGAACACAAAGGTAAGTTACCCAATTCTAGCTGAGCCTTACTGAAATGATGGATGTCCCACTTCAGTTAGCGAGAAGTCTTTTTTCTCACATAAGACCTACGCTTTGTTTTCAAATAGTATTTCAGCAGCTGATTTCATTGCTAAAAATATATCACTGACATGCAAATTTTGGAGACTTAGAACAATAACTGAATTTTTAATTGGACACAGAAATACTTGGAATTTTACACCATAATGGTTTTTTTTTTCCCAATTTTAATCATACTTCAAAATCTGTATCTACTATAAGAGGTTGAAACATTCCTTCCTGTGAAATTTCCTGCCTCGTTTTCTGAAATGTAATTAGCCTCTGTCAGAAGAAGGTATTGAGCTGAATGAGTTGTTTTTCTCAACTCAATGTGTGGCAATTTCTGTATGTTTCTGTGAGCATAAGTAAGAAACAGTCTACTTTGCTTCTGCAAATCAGCAGAAATAGTAACTGGATAGAATAAATAGAAGCAAAACTAGCCTGCTAGAAAAAAAATCCCGTTAAAAAAAGGCACCTTTGAGCACTTATTTCAGCATAACTGTCTGCTGCAGTTACTGGGAGCACTTTCTTTCTGTCTGAATCCATCCAGATTTCAAAATCTGAAAACAAAACAACAAAATGTTAAACACTGCAAGAGTTTACAATTAGCAACCTATGTAGCTCATTTGGAAGTTTATTGGTTGCTTTTCCCTCCCTCCAACCAATCTGAACAGCTACAGCTTGCACACCTCCAGGAAAAGAGTTGGTTTTTTTTTTGTTTTTTTTTTTTTAAATTGCAGACATTAGTTTATGAAAATGAAATCTTAAAGAAACCAGTTTTGATCTGAGTCTGTCAAACCTACTCAGATTGTCCTGTAGTCTGATTTCTAGTTAGAAACACTTAATCTACAAATATTACAAAAAAAAAAAAACCTGGTAATCTGAGTTTGCTAGTAAATATAAATGAAAATGTAAAAGAAACCAAATGTTATGAAATGATCACCCTTCAAAGATCATATTCCATTTCATAAATGAAAGCTGAACTCAGCCAGATCTTAAGAGAAGAAACAAGTCAGAGAACAAAAGGTGGTGAATTTTTGTTTTTCCTTTAGCTTTAATACTAAGATGTCAACTTCATGAAACAGTTGGATACTGTGGAATTATATGCAGTTAAAAACTGCTTGCTAATACTCAACAAAAAAGTCCAAATCTGTTTTGTAAATAAAAGCAGTAAACTGACATTAACAGGTATCCTGGAAAATAAGATTGACCAAAGAAACCATTTTTTAAATGACTGTCTTCAAAACTTTACCTTTTATTTACCTGTAACCCATGCAAATTGTTACCACCTGATTATTTTAGGGATTATAAATCTACATTAAAAAGTAATGGCATACATGACAGTAATTTGGCTTCGTACCAATATGATACTCATATGGCAGCTGAACATTTTGCCGAAACATGTTCTCATCTCCCAGAAGTTCTAGCAGTGCCTCCCGAGCCTTTCTGAGATTAACAGATACTAATGAAGAGAAGCTTTCAGTTGGCACAAATGCAGGCTTCATGAAGGAAGGGCTATCAAGTTCCATACATGTTCTCACACAGTGAAGCATTGTTTCCCTTTTTTCCTTGTAAAGATCACCTGAAAATGAATACAAAAGTCTTACAGCCGGGGTATCACTTCACAAGATTTTTCATTTTGCTATCTTTTACAGCCTATTCAGAACCTCTTCAGATTCCAGGTACTAAAGCTGGTTTACAAATGTTAAGACTTCCCATATTTTTAAAGATGCCTGAACATCTTGAATATGGAACCCTTACTTCTCAACACAATTCTACCATTTTCACCAATCTTACATTCATTTTTGTGCAAATTATTAAACTGTAGCCACCACGGAGCCCAAGACAACAAACTTGATGCCTTAGCACATAATTAGAGAATATGGTGTCACTTAGGTCACAGTTACTGTGTCAGCTTTTTCTTGCAAATGTCGTGTTTAATGCTAATGGACTTTGACTTTTCCAAGCTATAAACCTTAGTACAATTACAACAAATTATGTATGGAGATGCATTACGCTTTTAAAGAATATGATGAAGCAAGGCCTGACCTGACACAAGTTCTTCAAAGTTGTCCTTTTTCAGCAGCTGATCGAGTGCACGATGAGGAAGATATCCTAAGATGCAAAGTGAATACACCGCCTTCAGTAGTTCTGTATTGGAAATCTGGGGAAGGTACTTATTCAAGCAGCTGTGAAGAGTCTCATAAAACCTTTTCCAAAAGCAGAAGGAAAGTAGCTGAGTACACAAATAAGACTATATAAAATGTAGTTTTCAAACAATTTCAAAAATACAACATAGAAATAATTATTATCTTGTATAATCCTATGTTCTTTAGTTCATCACTCCCATTAGAATCTTTGAGGCTACAGCTACTTTATCAAGAGACTTAGTAGCTTCATCAGTCTAGTTCCAAGAAAGTACCCATTTTCAGCTACAGAAAACAATTCCTATGTAGTACAAAAAAATACTAAAAGCACAGCAAATTTACCTTACAGATTAATAAATCTAGATTATGGACTTTTTCACAATTGAAATCAAATACCACTTGACATTCCATTCATTTCCTTACATTACTCCATGACAGCTATGTAACATCAGGCATTCTAAAACGAAAACCTACAAATGATGTTGGCCTCTGGGAATATAGTTGAGTCGTGAATACACTCGAAGAACAATCAAAAGGCTTTTCAAGTCCAGGAATTCGGAGTCTTCTGTAACTTTCTCAGCAAGAACACCCATCAGCTCAGTGGGCTGAAAGCCAAGTGACTCGAAGGCAGAAAGAAAAAGGATAATCTAAAACAAAAGACATTTTTATAAAGTCAAGAAAGTCAGTGAAGTGGATCTTTTCTTTTCAATAAGAAATGTTTTTTTAATGAAAGCAACTTTTAAAACCCTAATATGTCTTTTATTTCTTAATTTAATCTGCAAGTCAACAAAGAGAAATGCATTTATGAAAATTAACTGCATGAATTTCAAAGTGACTTTCATAAAAATATCTGCTCCAGAGACCGAAGATACATGTGAAAAAAGGTAAAACAGAATGAACCTGACATTGCTTATTTTATTGCTACTACTATAAAGTACTTGGTCTCAAACTCACCTGTCTTTTGTCCAAGAGGCAGACAACAGAATTAACATAGTCTGCTACTGTTGAAAACAGTTTTATATTACGGTACTGTAGACTGTGACAAGCTTCCAGAATAAGAATTAATTGCCAAAACGGAGCATCGTGAATATTCTCTGTAACATAAAAGAAAAAAGAACAAATGATACAAGTCAATGAAAGCCTGAGTTGAAAAAGATGAAGTACTAAAAAGCAATGCTCTCTCTGAACTCCTACGCTATGTGCTGCAGAGTGACATGCATGTCATAAAAGATAGTGATTGCAGGAGAAAAGAGCACAGCTACAATAGTACAATCATCAGTTGCAGACTTCGTTGCTTCCTCTGCCAGAGGACTCAAGACGACAGCAGGAAAATAACTGAATTCACATCCTCTGAGTTGTGCTCAGTGGTTTTCTAGGTTTAGCATGAAACACCTCGTTTCTTGAGGTGCTGCAGTTGAGGTGACAACTGCAGTTGAAGACAATGAAAGCTCTGCATCATATGAAGTGATTTGTAATGCTAGGTATTCTTAAGAAAAAAAAACAGGCCAAAGGAATCTTGTATTACAGGACACTTTGACCTGAATCTCTGTCTGCTGTTTAATTAGAAAATGAATATCATCACTGGGTCATTTCTTCACTTCTGCAAAAATTAACTCAATTTATGAAATACATAGTTACGACAATTATGGTCAGGTCCCTAGATATGGGAGAGGGCACTACTTTCTTGAAAGCCCCAGCAACTGAGTAGAACCTGTAAATTGTGCTGGAGAGTTCCCTTACCTCATGGGCCCCAAAGGATGCCCTCTCTCCTCTTCCTATTCTATCCCCAGCTCTGAAAGGGAGAAGTTTCTACCAAGAAATAAATCACTGTGCCCAGAGCATAATTTGCACAATATGCAGCAAGTCCTGAGAACATGCAGAAAAATGTACTGAGTAGCTGCTGACTCTGCATGCCACGTAGCCTGTGTCTATGTGTGGTAGAGTCCTGTGGTAGAAGGCAGTTAAAGACGGCATCCTAATCCACAGAACATAAAGACTGTATAAGCAACCCAAATATTTTTGTTTCCTAAATGTTAAGAATGTTGTTTTGCTATCTCAATAGTTTTTGAGACATATGTTCATAGGTATTTTAAGTGTGAATAAATACATGCAGACTCTGTATACATAGAAATGCATTATAAAGGTATGGAGAGAGGTGAGAGCAGTAATTTTCATTTAGATCTTTTAAGCTGTAGCATGAGGTCAATTATTAATCAGCATTCAAGAATGAGATCCAGCTAAACAGGGAAGAACTGTATTCCATTTAGTCTATCAACAAATTGCACTACACCACCAATCTATCTATCTATCAATATCTATTTCCCATTCAGATTTGTTTTAAAAACTTATCTGAAATCTACCTTTTATTGCTATCCTTCACTTCTTTTTCCAAAATAATGCATGCAGAAGAAAATCAAAGAAAAAAACCAACATAATTCAAGGAAACGTTAAAAAGGGTAGAGAATACAAGAACTATTTGTTATCATTATCCATCAGTAATTTTCTGTCTTGTCACTCATGAAATCACTCCGCATTACTGTCTTATCCTGTAAAACAAACATGTTCCCTGAGTTTTAAAGGAAATCAAGAAAGGGATGTGAAAGAAATAATGAGGAAGAACTTTGCACAAGGAAGGGAAATTTAATAAACACTTTTTTTTTTTTTTTTTTTTTTTTTCTCCTTACCCTGGATCTTTTTACTGCAGGCATTCAGGATTGGAATGGAACAATACTTCATTGCAACAAGACCCAAAAACACACGGTGAGCATTCGGGTAAGTCATGTGGTCTATCTCTCTCCAAACTGCCATCTAAAGTGAATCAGAATTTATTAAATTCTTCATTCTCTACATACACTACCGTTGTTTTATTATGAAAAACTTTTCACCAAAACTTTTCCAAATTTCTTAACCTGTTCAGACTTATAAGTAAGAAAAAGGAGCAACAGAAAGCAAAAGCATAAAGGAAGCTCTTTCAGTTTCTCAAAACACAATTAGAACAGATCAAGTGTTCTAGAACTCTGTCACTTAGCAAGTTCACAGCAATTTGCTTTTACATGGACTTTTTACAAGAAGTCTCAGTAAAACTTATTTCCTAATGCTGTGAATATATACATTACGCTAACTCTTAAAAAAAGAAACAGAAATATAATTAACATAGTTGACATTTAAATTATTGCAATTACTAGTTTGGATGTGTTTGAGAGCTGTAAGCCTTCAACAGGATCCAACTCCATACTGAGTAGAATATTTTTAATACAAACATCCAACCTGAAATGTGCACTGAGGCACAGAAGCTCTGATACCACAGAATAGACTTCATTTATAGAAGTAGCAATTAGACAAATAGAAGTGACAGCAAAAATGAGTCTAGCTTTATTGGATATTAAAAAAAGCAATATTCATACATATTAAAAAAATACAATATTCATGTGTATCAACAGGTAAATACAAAATGCACCTACAATAGAAATTATACAGTTTTATGTCAGTGTTCCAACTACAGGTTAGTAAAGGGAATCAGGGAATAGCCTACACATTCTTCTGTGAAATACTACGTGGCCAACCCAGAGGCAAGGGAACAACTATTTTACTGTCTCAACTCCTTTTGTGCAATTTCCATTGCTTTCTGTCCCATTTCATGGGGTAATTCCTCCAGCTTCAAACTTAAGATCTTTTTACAGATATAGCTGGACCATGATTCATACACCAAAACCTTTGTGTAATTTCTTTGTGCACCTGGAAAGAACCACACACAATTTACAAAACAAAGCAAAAGCACAGGCTTTGTGGAAGTAAAAATGAACCTCCAGACAAGTTTACCTCTAATTTCTTTTTCAGAAAGACTGGAGCATCCTTTCCCATACATTTCATCAAGTTTTGCAGTATGAACATATCTCTGATGCTTGGGAGTCGCTGCTCTACTAGTAATCTGAGGAAGAAAGAAATGCAAGGCCTTGAGACAGTTCTCTCATTTCAGCAAAAGCAGGTAGGTACCCCCATTTTTTTTCATTAGCATATTGCCAAGTTAAAGCAGTAATTCCTTCCTCCTCTTACATCACTTATTTGCAAGGCCAGCACAATTTTACATGATGTAGCTGTGGCTCAGTTGGAAATGATTACATTGTTACAGTGATATGGTTTTTTTTAAATGCTTCCTGATACCTAAGTGCTGTCCCTCACAAACTCTGAATATCAGAAACACCTTCCTTGCTACTACAGGTGACTGCAAATGGGAGTGCAGTTAAGCATCAAGGAATTAACACTTCTGTAGAGAACAATATATGTTTTATAACAATGACAACAACCTTGCGCAAAAAAAATGAGCAAGCTGTTATGTGAGCTGTAGACAGAAGGAGATATCATAGCACATAAGTGCATGATGAAGGTGTTCTGTTTTCCCAGCACTGCCTTTTCTGGCTCAGATACTGTAACTGTTACAGATACTGTAACTGTTGTCTCTGATTCACTCTTAATCATATCTACGCAACTACCAAAGTACAAAGTGTCACTGTCTAAGGCAGTGTATTGCTCTGAAATTCATTGCTGCAGATGCTGTTCCCTCAAATGGACAGAAGAATAGCCTATAGGTGGATCTCCTGCTTTCTACCTACAAGAACCATGTACCTGAGCTCACAGGAAAGCCTGCTTTTTGTGTGTCACTACCACATCCACCTTTTCAGAGCAGGTCCTGACTCAGGACCAAAAGAACTAAACTAGTGCAAGCTCTGTGCTAGCCTCAGTAAAAAGAATCTCATATGAGTCAGCAGATTGGATATCCATACAAATCTCATTGGCCTAGGGAAAATCATTAAAGTCAAAGAAGTTATTCTGATAAAGCACTCACCTGAATGCTTTGCTGCATTCACAGATAGATAAAATCAAAACTTGTTTTCATCTTAATTCTTCCTTACTAAATTAAAAAGAAATAGGGCCTGGCTGTTCTCATCACGAAAAATCAAAATACTTTATAATTTAAGCTAGACTCATTACCTCTTTCTTACAGGTTAAATATGTCTTTTATGCACACACATTCCCTCCATGATTTTTAAGACACATATATTCAAACAATATTTAAATACTAGTAACACATGTAAGGTAATTTCCTCACTGTAATCCAGCTTGAAGAGCGCTCACATTCTTGTCTTCATCCATCCCGGCTAACGTAGTGGCCAAAACTGACATACAGCGGTTATCCAGTTGATTGAGCTTCTCCTGTTAAAGAGTTTTCACAGTGCTAGATTACCTCAGACCAGTAAAAATTTCTGAAAAGAAAACCTCTTACTTTGTACCCGTCATCCTGTCTTCCCATTAGAAGTCAGGTCACAAGCTTAAGTCTCCACTGACCTCCACAGTCTCCAAGTTCATTTGAAAAGGGTAATGATTTTTCAGACTTCTCTCAGTTACGTGTGAAATCAGGCAGCGGTTTGAAAAATGAAAGAAACCAGATGTGCATACTGATTAACTAAGGGAGCCCCGTTTCCTCCGAACATCAGAGTAAACCAGAGATGTAACCCAAACCTCTCTGATGCTGTACAGCCTCAAAAAACCAACCCTGATATTTCAGCCCAAACTTCCGTGAGGGATTTTGATACTTACTTGGCACACTCTCAACAAAGTCTGCACTAAGAGAGTATTCTGAGGAACACCGAGGTTCACCACAGCGTGCAGACTGAACACCAGGTCGCCCCGTGTCATCCTCCTGGAGTGCTGCAGCAGCTGCTGACAAAGCCTGACGAAGGCCGGGTGCTCAAAGATGAGCCGCTTCTCGTAGCGCCGCTGGTCTTCTGACATCTTTCTCAAGAGTTTCCACATGGTAGTTAAACAGTTGGTGAACTGCTTGATGGAGAAAGCAGACTCTGAGGCCAAGTCCAGTACATCACTAGGACAGGCGCACTTATGGAGTCTGTTAAAGAACTGTTCATTTTGATCCAGCACTGCCTTCACTCCAAAGCTCTGTGCATCACCATCCAACTTCTCCATTTCCAAGGAGCTCTGCGGAGCCTGCTCGCTCACCGCAACCTCTCTACTCTTTTCCTGCTGTGCTTCATCACCTGTGCCGAAAACATCTGCTTTTTGAGACAGAAATCGAAGAGGCGATCCACATAGAGAGGGAAAAGTATTTAGAAACAACTTCCTGCAGTTCACATTCTCCAGGCGATCCCTGTGCCTGCTGCTCCATACAACGCACCCGCTTGTAGGAGCTGACGGTCTGGGCCCGGGGCTGCACCTGCACAAGTACCTGACTGCCTTCAGCAGGTAACCCATCTTAGGATTTATTTTTGTCAGCGTCTCACACATGGATGTGAAACGCTCGCTCAAGATCAGGGATCTGAAGAAATCCTACCATTGGAAACCGGCCTGGAAAAAGAACATAAAGACATTTACATAAGTCAAGTGGAACTGATATGCAACAGATTTGCGGGCTCTTAAGTAATACTGCCATGGAAAAAAATGTAAAAGCAGCAGCTGGGAACGGATCTGCAGAGGATTTTATTGGGCTTCCCGCACGCCGGGCGCCACCTTTTCCTCCGATCGATGCTGCGACCAAAGCCACCTCGCCGGGAGAGAGAACCTCCTCCCACCGCCTGCCCCGCAGGCCGGCCCGCTCCCTGACGGGGCTCCGGGTCCGCTCGCTGCCTGCTCGGCAGAGCCTGCCCGGGGCGGCCACGCCGCCGTGCAAAGCCCCGCTGCCGCGCAGGCCGAGCGGCCCCCTGCCGGCTCCCCGCGGACGGGGGCTGTGCGGCTCGCGACACGCGCGCGTGACTGCAGATGACTGCGCTCCGCCGACCACGAGCAGTTACCTCGCTCTCCAAGGCGCCATAACACCCAGCCGCCCTTCGCGCGCGCGTCCTGAGCGGGCCTCGCGAGAGGGACGGCGCGAGCCGAGGGACAAACGGTTGCAGCGCGTTGCCGCGCGACGGCAAACCGACCGTTAGGAGCGGCACGCGCATGGCCAAGCTGGTGCTGGCGGGTGAGGCGGCCGTTGGGCGCTGTGTGGGGCTGTAGCGGCTGCTCCTCTCAGCCGGCTCTGCCCCCTTTCGCGCCTTCGCTCTCTCTTGAGCGTGGCGTCTGTCCGTCACGCCGCCGCTGCCGCTTTCGAGTCAGCTCTGTCACCCTCACTCCATCGGGAAGCTTCTCTCTCTGCTATGCTCCCCTTCGCTCGTCCGGTGAAGCACCGCTTAGGCGTTGGCCGAAACACTCTTGCTGAACTGAGCAGGAGTTTGGCCTCTGAAATTACCCTTTCTTTGCTGGTAATTTGCTTGCCCTGACGCTTCAGAAAGTTCCCGGAGGAACTCGTGTGATACCGGTCACGCAGGCTCTGTGCCAACCGGGAGCAATTCAAAGAGCGTTTGACTCGTTGGTATCACGGAGCCTTCCCTTAGCCGTGCCGTTGCTGCTCCCACAGGTAGGGCAGGCTGCCCGCAGTACGCCAGAGCCGAGCTCCTGGCCGACTACCTCCAGGCTAACCTGCCGGCCTTCAGCGTGCACAAGGTGGTTCAGCACCCCGACAGGTGGGAGGTAAGGAGCGCAGATCCAGCCGTAGGGCCCGGCACTCCGCGGGGAAGGAGCGCGCTCACCTCCAGTGGGTCTCTCTGTCCCGCATTAGCGCTTGGGTAGGCGAGCACAGGTGCTGCTGAGCATTGGCTGTGAGTGCCAGCATGAGGGAAAGTTTGGATGCTGTGAGTCTGGCGTTCTTGTCAGTCTTACCACGGGATAGGGGCATAAGGTGAGAGTCGTGTGAAACTGTGTTTAGTTGATAGGAAGTACAGATAGTTACAGTACGGACAGGCCTCTCCTGTACTCGACGGAGTACTTTGCTGTATGCCCAATTGTTCATTCTACTTGAAGCCAATTTTACATATTGCTGCATCTGCAGTGTGGTCCCTATAAAAAACTGGAAAAAAAAATGCAGTATTACTTAACAAGACAGATGGTACTGTGATGTTTTTACCCATTATACTTTGCGTGACACCTCAGCCAAGTAACTCAAATAGTAAAGTGAAGAGCAGTTAACCTCTGCAGCCTACTTACCTCCCACAGAGGTTACCTTCTTACTTTCTTAAGGAATCCTGAGATTCCTTGTTGATTTGCAACATTTCTGTGTTCAATATCACTAAGAGAATAGAGCAGAATTACAGCAGTAAAACCAGGAGGAAATTACTAAGAAGTTGCTTATTTTGCTCTGTTGCTGGAATATTGTGGTATGTCTGTGTAACTTGCTGTGCACGTCAGTGTAACTTTGTGTCAGTCTGCTTTTTTTTGCGCACTGTTGCGTGGATAAGTTTTAAATGCTTGGTAATTATGTATTGAGAGGGAATAATGTTTATAGCTGTAACATATTAGTGTTAATATGTGAACAAATATTAAAACCTTCTGGGGTGATGTTTGCATTAGCAGTGGCTTCATGATGTTTGTGAAATGAATGGATGGGAGCACAAATGGTCTCCAATCATTTGGAGAGAACTGTTGGACCGTGGAGGCAAGGGTCTGCTTCTGGGAGGACTTAATGAATTTCTGGAACATGCTCAGGTAATGAGCAACTCTTAATACAGTAAGCCCATCATTTACATCTTCTTACAACATTGCTGATATTTATTCCTCCTTCAAATGTAAAATAAAGCTGTCTTTTCTAGTGTTCCCTTGCTGTGTTTGAGCTGTCATTTGACTAGAGAACGTCTGTTTTTGTTCCTAGAGCTATTACGGCATCACCTCAATGATGCTGACTGAGGAAATGTTAGAGATTGCTGAGGAGAACCTGCAAGCACACATAGAATCTGAAAAAGAGCAGGAAGAGATTAGAAGTCTTATCAACCCTTTGCAGATCTGGATCACCAGGTTAGAGTAGTAAAAAGAGTATAATTTTCACTCAGTTTCAGAAGAATACAATTTTTCTTATCACATGAGATATAACCAGCTGAGGTTATTCATGAATCCATGTAATTTGCTGATTTGAATTAGATCCTGCATCCCTCACTATGAGCATTCAGTGTATGAATTGAAAAGTATTTCTGTTTTAGTTGCATTTTGTTCCAGTATAAGTGGCTGATGTGAACAGGTGTCAGTGAGCCCCCTAGAGCACCTTGTGGAAAAGCAATTATTTACAAAATAAGCTGTAGTGCAAATATTTTACGTTAAATAATTTTTGAAATATTTAAATAGTCTTTTGCAGTTCTAGCTATAGAAATATATGTATTTCCCGTAGTCCCATCAAAAATATCCAAGAGATACCTTAAAAAAAAACCACGTTTAAAATCATAGTTCTTTAGTGACATTTTTAAATGACAACATCACTTGAAATGCATAGGATGAAAAACCTTTAAATGAAAGAGCATCCCAGATTTTTAATTTTAAGATGTTAAAATGGGAGCGCAATGAAGGATCCAAGCGAGTTATCTTTTTAAACATAATCAAATGCAAAGACAAGATCTTTGTGCTTACTGATGTAACACTTCTGTACAAGCAGTGTACAGTGGTTAATTTGTCCGTATCCTTCTTTTGTCAGTGCATCAGCTCCAACCTGCTATCAGCTTATCCCTCTGCTGGCAAGTGGTGATGTGTTTGGAATGACCACGGAAATCAGTATCCACTTGCTTGATGCTGTCCAGTTTAAGGAATATCTTTCTGGTGTTGTGATGGAAGTTGAAGACATGGCATTCCCACTTCTCCGTGGTATTTCAGGGCACACTGAGATAGACAAGGCTTTTCTTCAAGCTGATGTTATCGTTGTTCTTGATGATATCGTTTTAGAAAGAGACACCCAGACCCTTGAGGACTGCATTAGAACAGTGAGTGAGATCTGTCAAGTGTATGCTCCCCTGATTGAAAAGAATGCCAAGAGTGGAGTCAGAATAATTTCTACGGGAAAAACCTTTGTAAACCTTAAGGCAATGATGATTATCACGTACGGCCCATCCATTAAGCCTGAAAATGTCATTGCTGTTGCAACATCCTGGGAAAGTGCGTCTAAAGCCATGCTAGCCAGGAAGCTGAATATGAGTGCAGCAGGTGAGTATTTGTGTGTTCTGGGAGCATTTGGGGAATCCAGTGGATAGACATGCTGAGAGCACATACTTCATAGAACAGTACAGTTGATGTACGTGCAGAAATGCAAGCTCAGCAGTGCACCCATTGAATTGCACAGCTGTACAGAATGCCAGGGTGTGACTAGCAGGTGCTACTGTTCTCTTTGCTTACTGCTATCTGAATCTCTGCTTGATCCCATAAAAATTACTTTTCTTGCCAACTCTTGTGCATTGCCTGTCTAGTCTTATGTCTCTTCTATGTTGGAATATGCTAAGCTGGATTGAGCCATGTGGCAGATGAGGACCTAGAACTTGCAATCACATTTATACTGAGCAGCACGTTATTTTGGAGAGACACAAACTAGCTGTGAATAAGCATGACAGCATGCTTCTGTGTGGATAACATGAGTGAGGGAAATTTGTGCTATAGCATTATTTCTGGGTTAATTGGTTTTCTTTCTCAGATTAGTTGTCATAACTTGGTCATATTCACAGAGTTCTGGACAGCACAGCAGGGCTGTGTTCCAACAGTCTGTTCAGCATCAAGATCCTCTCAAGCGCTGCAATGGAAGGAACTGGTAGTCAACAACAGTGACATTTGGGAGCCTGATAATATAGAAAAAGAAGTTAGGCAGAATTGTCTATCAACAGTTTATTTCAGAAATTCATTTTGTACCAAAGCTATAACATTTTTGAAATATTTGCAATAGATTTCTTTTGAATGGTCTGTATTTGCTTGTACAGAACTTTAAATGGAAGGTTGTTCTGTATTTGTAACATGATTTGCTTTGTTTTCTAACACAAAAATATTTACTAACTTTTGTTTATTTTATGTAATAACATGATATTAATTAAAGTCCCATTACTGATTATGATGAGGTTTCATATTATGTTATGGAGAACTTTGATGTGATTTTCAGATGAAAACATTTTTGCTATTTAAGGCAGGACACTGAAATGAAAAATAGTTTATTTTCAAGTGGACTTCCAGAATTCATCCAGGTCAACCGATACTGTGAAAATATTTGTCTTTCTCCTTGTTAATCTGTATATTTTCCCCTGTTGCAGGTGTTAAAGATGTGATTGTTTGGGGCAACATTTCTGGCTGTATCTACATTGATTTGTCACATGCAAAGCTTTACAGATGTGACAGTGCTGTTTGGGGCCCAGCTAATTTTTCACGTCCTTTGTTGAATTTGATTTACGATAGGTATGTGCAGGACAGATTTGTTTTTTAAAGTAAAATTAAATAACTTCTTTACATCTGAGATTATCTGAACTTTTTAATGAACATCAAGAAATATGATTGTTTTCAAGATTTGTCTTTGACTAGCACTGTACATAAAGGAAAACTTGAGCTGAAGTACTAAGTTTGCAAAAGAAGTTGAGTAGTTCCTCCTCCTATGCATAGGTCTGATTCCTCTGCCAACTTTGTTTAGAACTATATATTCCTACATAGTAGGCTTCAAGAAGTACTGAAAAGCCGGATAGTGAATGGGATGTCTGGTATGCATGAAAAGACTTTGAAACAATGCTAAGCATGTACCTGCATCTTGTATCTGAATTACATTGAATTTATGGCTTGAGGGAACTGATGTTGTCAATTTCCCATAAGATTTGTTAATGTGTGTTAGAGGGATGCATGACATCTAAATAGCTTCTAGAGAAAAGAGAAATAGCAGGGAAAGGACGTTTGGAGTGAGAGGACAGCTGATGTTACAAGTACTCAGGCCTGGATTTGCAGGGCTCCTACTCTGGTGTAAGCCCTCCAGCATTTACAGGGTAGCAGATATTTCTTTTGTTCTTTACTGGTACTGTGCCAAGCAGGGATTGTGGTGCATGGATTCTTACATCAGACAGTAACAGTTATAAATAGTAATTATAATAGAGGTCATAGCTTGAGTAAATGACCTTTCACAGACAAATAATCCTTGTTGTCACCTCTTCAGCCGTTTTTTACTTATTTTCTGCCTTCAAGTGCTTTGCCTTCAGCAAAGCCTGAATAAACTGTAACTGTTATCTTCGCTTAATTCTAGTTCTGTTGTTCTATTCTTCCTATAGTCATCTCAGGGCTTCCCTCCCACCCTTCTTTTTGTTGTCAGCAAATGGATCAATTCAGAATTTATGTCTGCACAGAGTTCCCGTGTCTGCCATTGTGCAGGAGTATTACTTGCTCATGCAGTAGCCACTGCACTAAGATACTGGTTTCATGGTTCTCCTCCTGGAGAGATTGTTTCTATGGGAATATTTAGTGAAGGTAAGTCTACTTTTGCTTCCTTGTAGCCTTCCCCAATTTCTATAATGTGATTTTTTATTGATCTTTTTTTCTTAAATGTAATTTAAAAAAATCATTGTATCATTGGAAATTGAGAATTTTTTTCACTATGATAGCCTGCAAATCTACACAATTATGCTATCTTGAGCTCGTGATTTGATATTCATTTCTTAAAAGTGTCTCTTAGGTTGGTAGTATCTTGTTGGAGATTGTCATTTAGTCTTTTAAATGATTTTTTCATGTATGTGGTTTGTGCGTGGAATCTTTGTAATTGTTAGAGCTAAAGGTACAAAAGCTTGCTCTTCTTGTGAAAATATGTGGGCCAATAAACGGAGTATTACGCTACAGCCATTTAAACCTTGTATGAAAGAAAGGATTTACACTTTTTAAAATGTAAAATTGTTATGTGTCCATCAAACTAAAATTCAGAATTACAGTCAGAGGGAAGCCCTTTAGTCTTTGAATTGTGCAGTCAGTCTCTGTACTGAGATCTTGCACAGTTACAAACTTCTGCAAATTCGTAGGGCTTAATCTTGACATTGCTGAAAATGTGGTTTATAATCATAAATAATATGTCTGGGCAATTTTTCCTTCTCTGCAGGTCAGTTTTGCATTCCTGAAGGGATTGTCTTCTCTATGCCTGTGAGGTTCCAGAATGGTAGCTGGGAAGTTGTAACAGAATTAGAAATTAGTGAAAAAACACAGGAAGTTCTGGGACGCTTATCCTATGATCTGATACAGGTAATGATTTTGTGCATCTGATGGTATGATGCCCATTCTGCTGCCTATGGGCACACTGCAGTGTAACTTGGACTACTGAGACCCTTATTGCAGATGTTAGGCATATGCAAACTGTGCACTAGAGCTCATGTGTGTAAAACAGTATTAAAAAAGATAAGGTAGTATTTTTGTATTGAGATGAATAGAATATTGTTCTGCTCCCCAAAACGGAGTCGATAAAATAAGTTTACATATGGAAATGTAAAATTTGCACTCCAACATTCTGCAGGCTTTGTACAAACTGAAAAGTTAGCTTTAAAGCTTTTACATTCTGTGGTGCTGATTTTAATTTTGTGTTCTCAGAGTGCTTCTGTGCCAAGAAACGTCTTTTGGGAAGCTTGTGGCTGTGACTCTCGATGAATGAAGGCCAGACATTATTATGAAGAGGGATTTTTCAGTAAATACAGAATCAGCAAGCAGTAATTTCATCATTAGCTATTTGTCATTTAGTGAGACAGAAAGAATTTAATTTGGTTAAGTATTAAAGCATAAAAAGGACTGGTCGCAAATTCCACACCCTACCATCAATACAATATTTGTCATCTTCAGTCACAGTGGTTTACATGTGCCTATTATCTTCGTTTGAACATATTTTAATTTTGTGTGAGACACTTCAGTGCACCACGATTAGGGGGCATTAAAGCTGTTCTTTTTTTTTTTTATTCAGGAAAAGCGCATTGCACTAAAGGAAATAAAAGAAATGCATCCTTACGGAGCTGATACAATCACTGCTAAAAAAGATTTGTTTCAAGGTGGGTTTTCTTCCCCGTAAGAGACAACACCAAGTTTTAAGTGAGAATTTAAGTCATGGATTGTTATTTTATGTCCCTTTCCTTTAAACTGAATATAAAATTGTTCAAGGAGGAACATAAGTAGCAAGTGCTTGTCTGATAAATCCTGAACATGCCGCAGGAAGTCTGCATGGCAGATGCCTTATTTTTATAAATTTCTTTCATGTCATTCACAGATAATGAATATAAAAACTGAGCATGAATAATACATTTAGGATAAAAGTACTAGGGTTTTTTCCAACGTAGAGTGAATATAATATATTTTATTTTAGATTATTATTAAATAGAACATCTTTTTAAACTATGTAACTGTTATAAGAAAAGCACTTTCAGCATATAACCTACTAAAGGTTTTTGAGGCAATTCTTTACTATTCTTTATCCTCCAGGAATAAAGTTGAATTTCTATCAGAGAAAAAAAAAAAAGCAAATTGGAAATCAAACTCCTCATTTTTCTGCTTATTGTAATTCATTTAATATTTGTGATCTATAAGATAGCCAGAATGAGAAAAAATTGAGACACCCAAAGAGCGCAGACTTTAAAAAAAAACCAAGAGATTCTTTATTGCTACAAAGAAGGCAATGTCAGATGCCAGTAAGGAGCACTCACATCTGTCACTTCTTCCAATTACGATAGGTGAAAGATCTGTTCAAGATCACTACATTTTAAATTAGTTACCCATTTTGCTTCACTAACGAGATGCCAGTTTTATCATTAATTAATTTTACAATACACAATGATACAACAAGTTTCAACTAAAAGCCTATTGAACAACTCCAGTATCCATTGCTAAGATTAGGAGCAGAGAGAAGTCTGCCATAGGTACAGCTTTGGCAAAACTCCCTTGAATCTGGTCTACTTTTCCCATGCAGAATAACGGGAATAATTTCTCCTATGTCTTTGGTGCTGCTTTTCAATTGTCAGTCATCTTAAGAACGTGTAAAGGAAAGCATAATTGATCTCATTAATCTCAGTAATCAAAATAAAAACAGATTACAGTACATTTTTTTTTATATTTCTTTTTCTTGTATCTCTTCTACCTTTGATATCCCATTTGTGCCTTTTGTCCTTTTATGCAAATAAGATGTTTCTGTGCTTATCCCTGACCTTTTGTATTATCCTTATGTATTCCTTCTAGCTTGCATAGTTTGGATTATTTTTCATTTCAACATAACTTTTATTGCCTTTATGATCAGGTTCCCAAACATAACGTTTCCATTCATTTTCCCAGGCTCTCCCTCTTGTACTAGCCATTTCTTTCTACATCCAAATCCCACTGCCCTTTTTCCTTTAGAATTCTTTCCAATACTTCAGTTCCTACACTTTGCATGTGTTATCTACCTACCCTGTGGTCGAATGCATTAAGGGACAGGGTAAATAACGGGGCAGCTATTTGAGGCTGATGCACAGAGCCCTTACTGAGCACATCAGCCTTTCTGTTATCCATGCTCTTTTCTCAGAAAAGAACTACAGACACAAGATAATTTTCCTGATAAATACAGAATTTATTTATTCCTCTAGTTATTGTAATTTTTATTAACCCAGACAGATGATTCCCAGTTAGACAGGAGAGTCTTCCTCTCTGCTGTCTACTTGTGTGGCACTCCTTTTCTAGAGCAGCCCTGTTCCTGTAGTTGTTTTAAATACTAAGTGAGTCACTCCACTGCTGGCAACTAACAGTTTAGTTCTTACTTTTCTGACATTAGCATCAAGGGCCAAAAATTATCTAAGCTTATCTCCCTGCAAGTTTAACTCTTTTTGGAAATCAGCAAAAATATGTACTGCTTTTGCTTTATGTTTTTACAGAGATGGAAGCTTGTCCTACTGGCTCAGTTTAGCAAGAGTTGTCTTCAAGAGAAAATGGTGAAAATTCCCATGCTAAAACAGTGTTTCTATTGTTCGAAAGAGTAAACTAGAAAGAAATGTTAAGTGTTGTCATAGCTTTTATTGTGCTGTCTTCATCCAAATCTTGGAAATCAGTCGGTGGAAAATATCTCAAGAAAAGAATAAATATAAGTCTTAATCTAGAGACCAAAGAAAAACATTCACTCAATTTAATGTGTCTAGAATTTAATTTATGCCCAACTTATTCAGATGAATGAACTGTTTAGAAAAAAAACTCTTTCATGTCTGAAATGTTCATATTAGTATGACGTTCAGCAACACTTCACAGAGCAGTGGTTTCATAATTCCAAATTCCGCCTCTTATGGTGATTGTAGATTATGATAAACATCTCCAATGTGAGAATGTTTATTCTTAGGCAAGATTGATTTTTAACACAACAGCTTAACTGCGTGCATCTTCTTGGTGACAAGGTCATTTTTATTTCTATTATTCTATTTCATTAGTTTCATAGGGACTGCTCATACATTTCAAGTCAGACATACCATTAACTGGCTCCTTGTCTAGACCAGGTTGTTGAGGAACTGCTTTAATTTTCATGTCTTCAGTATCTCAAAAGATGGGGACTATGATAAATGAACTATGATTGTACTTGCTAATTTTTTATCAGTTGTGAATGTTAAAAGCAAAATAAAAAGTTTTCTATTCCTTGAATGGAACTCATGCAATTGGAATAACATTTTTTCTGTTCAAGTGGACCTTCAAACTCTTAGCAGGGATAGCCTTCATCTTACACGAGGAAATCAAGAGGAGTTTATGTTCTTAGCTGGTGAATGAGGAGTTCATAGAAAAATGAGCTTGGGAAACCTGGATTTCACAGGAGAGATGGAAGCGAGAGTGTAGTTTCTTACACAAAATATATACGGGAGAAGCGAGGTTTCACTGATACAATCATCTTCATGGATAAGTTCACCTGGAAGTTGTAGAGGCAGGAGTTGTAAGAAGTTTGAAGTAGAGGGCTAGGAATCATTAATTTCATGTGGAAATTCTCTCTAGAGAATTAGTTTCTAGAACTGTGTGCATAGAAAATTGGTTGAATCTGTGGGAAAATCTGGAGCCGGGTGTCTTGGCAGACTATAGGAGAAAAGGATGCTATCAGTAGTTTTTACAGACTGCGCTTGATTTGTTTCTTATTCTAAGACAGGAACTTCTGTAAAATGTATTTAAATTTGTGTTTTTCTATATGGAATATGATCTTATAGTCTTTTTAATATTTGAATTCTTTTACTCCTCCTATTGAGGTAACAGTTCAAACTATGCATTTCAAGCACAAACAATACACAGCTGTTAATGAGAAATACATTGCAGAAATGTTTTGTTTCTATGCAGACTTACTGGGCTTCTGAGTTACTGCCTGTGAACCATAAAGAATTTCACTTCAGTGCTTTAGAGGAGAATGAGAAAACAATGTCTTGGATATCTCTTATATCCAAAATTATTCTAAGTAATAGTTATGAACTAATTTGCAGTAATTAATTAGTGGCCTGCAAGGAAATTCAGATCTTTAGTCAGGGAAACATAACACAATGGAAACTGAAGTTTCTTGTTCTTTTCTTGGGGCTGTATGAAAGAATAAAAATAATAAGAAAGGTAAAATATAATAATATATTCAAAGTTGATTGTATCACGTTAGACCTAGTCATATATTGACAAATGTGGGTTTTCTGTAAGTAGTAAGTAATTCCTTGTGCATGTTTTCTCAGAAAGTTACTGCTGGGGCTCTGTATGCAGGGAATTCATAGCTTTAATGAATTCTATATTGAGAAATGTGTTCCACAGTGAGAAACATGAAAATTGCCTTTAAGATAAATGGATATGTCTAAAAAATGTTATATATATTCTCCATATTTCGATCTGCTGAAGAGAGCGTAAGCTTCCTGTGTAATTGGAACATTCCTTATTGTAGGACATTAACACTAGAGCTTACTATTTTTTCTCTTTGTTGTTGCACCAACTGTTACAGCCCTTTTGCTGCCTTAGTGTTCCAGCTTCCACCTTTTTTTTCCTCTCTATAGCAACACTGTTTCTCAGCAACTGGGAGATGCTTTGCAAAGACCCCTCAGTTGAAAAACATTGCATTCCGATGATAAGAAAAACTGGCTTTGAAACAAAGATCAAAGAAGCTTTATCTTGAATTATTGAAGATATTTATTACTAATTAATTAGTGTTTTCTGTTTTGACTGCTTAGACAATTACCTGATGCTTTGATCTGAGCTGTTGCTAGGCATTTGTTGAGAACAGCATTCATTTAAAAGCAAAACCTTTAGAACTGTGTCTTGAAGTCAACTTCTAAGTGCTACAAAACTACTGGACTTCTCTGAAGGTGTTTTCTGACCTATGGGCTTTTAGCAGCTAGCTGAGATAAAGGTAAGCGCTGTTACTCTATTTACAAGGAGACGGTAATCTCAGGCTTTGAACACAACATGGAATGTTTTCACCCTTTTAAGGAAACAGAAGTAATTGTACTTTATTTTATACATATTTAAAATGTTGCTCATACATTGTCTGACTCATTTCAAAAGAAGAAAGGCTTCTGTGAGCAAGTCAATTGATCTGTTGAGAGATTTCTGCTTTACTTGATCTGACTTGTCTTTTCCTGTATTTTAACTTACTTGTGCATTAAGTTTAAAAATGCATTTTATTTGCTAAACAACATATTCTGAGAATTTGTATAGAGATACAAAATACATGTAGGTGGTTAAAGCATATTACTTTTCTTGCACTTTACACAAAGGTGCCAGAATAAGGCTACTGTTGTTCTGCACTTTACAATAGTTGGGTTAATGGGATTAGAATGTATAATTATAGAACTTCTTTCTGTACATTTGTAACTAGTTTTATAATTCTTTTTTGTTTTGTGGAATTGCTCTTACTATTAGTAAAGGGCACATACATCCAAAAACACTGGTTGAAATAGTTATCAGTGACCATTATTAATTCAGGTGTGATGTTTTAGTAGATGGATGATCTTTTTCCTTCATATTGTATTCATTATGAGGTAGATATGCTAACAGTGGAGTAGATCCCACTCCTTTCAGCTCAACAGTCCCACTGCAAGGAGCTGGCCTGTCTGACGTTACGATGTTGCATCATGACAACTAGTTGAGTAAAACACTTAAGCAGGTACGTAACTTTGATACCTTCCTTGAGGACCACAGTTCAGATGTATAATGTATTTATCCACATGAGTAATTTATAGGGTAAGCATTTCACTGCATGGAGAGCTCGTTATCCTACCTAAGTATCAAGTGCTAATATATTATGCACACTGTTAAACTCAGTGAAGCCAATGGAGCTGCTCTTATTAGAGTAAGCTGAATTCTAATATAGGTGAGTTTAGCCTGTGCATTTTTATATTCATCTTGTTTTATTTTACATACCTTTGGTGGAGAGACAAAAGGAAGAAAAAAGAGGCAAGTTCTGTTTTTGTACATCTGTCATTTACCAAACATGTAGAGTTTAAGTTGCTACCTGTGGCTTGTATTTAATTCACTGCTTAGGAACTTCTGATTTCAGTGATTTCTATAAATTGATTTTTCTGTCAAAGTATGTGGACATATATAATGCTGCGCCTGTTTAGGAGTAATTGCATAAGCAAAATTGCATGCCTATGTAAATGTTGGGCAGAACTGCAATCTTGCAGAACTCAAGGTTGAATCCAAGCTGTAAATCTTGCTAAGGGAAGAAAACAGTGATGCTGAAAAAGGAACAGTGGTGTTTCTTTCAAAGAGGAACTTCAATAAAAATAGAGGCATTGTACTCTATAATGAGGAAGTAATAAAAGCAAGTCTGAATCCCATTATCTTAAATATTTATAGGTTATTTAGAGTCTGAAACACAAAGTTGCAACTTCTACCAATTACAATGCTGAACAATTTATTTACGATAAATATAATAATCATAGATGAATGAATTTTTATGCTTCATAATTGGCCAATATTCTATCATGCTTCTGGTAAATGATCAATGACTCACTGCAAAAATGTCAAGAAATGTAAAGCAGTGAAAGCTTGGGTAAGTTTTGTTTTAATACCGAATTTATTGTTTAGTCTTCAGATATTTTCAATTATTTAATTTTTATTTCTACTGAATTTCCATTTCTTTTCTACTGTAATCTATATAAATAAATGTGTGTGTGTGTGTGTGTGTGTGTGTGTGTGTGTGTGTGTGTGTATACAGCCTTCAGTATCTTTGGTAACTTAGACCTGTTAAATTACACCTAGTGTTTTTCAAATGTAGCATTAGCTGACAGATAGCTCCTATACCAAATTCAAATTTATATTATTATGTTTAAAAATATAATGTAGTTTAAAGTGTTAAAGACATAAGTTCTGACAGGAGAATTTGTTTCTGTTATCATCAGTGACACAACTACTTTTGCATTCAGGGATATGTTTGGAAGCAGATTCATGCTTAAGCTTCCTTTTTAATTTCCTTCTGAGGTCAAAGAAGGAATACTGTCAGCTAACCTGAACACTTCGGTTTGAAAATTTTAGAATATAGACTTGCAAGCAATTGCAATCACTGAATTTCGAGAGCAGTCTGGTGTAAAGGTATACTGTAGCTATCTTGAAATCATACAGTGTGGACTATGTGGTACTCTTCTACTTAAACACTGGACTCCTGAATAGTTAAAGATCTCATTTCCTGTTCTTCAACTGCTTTGGGAACAGTTTTCTCCTTCATGCAATTTTGCAGTTAATGTGGTTGCCCCTACTTTATCCCAGGCAGAGATCATGCAAATTTCTGGTGTTTCTCCATACCTGACACCGAATCTACTATGTTGTTTTATATAATTCTGTTTAACTTCATCTATGAAATGCATTCAGTAATTTTTTCAGATTGTTAGGTTTGATTGGGATGGTTCAATATGCCTCAATAATGTGATTTTGCACTTTGATTTGTTTCATTATAGAATGTCTAATGCCATCTGCCCACTTAAAATGAATCCAGACTTGCAGGGTAAGGATTTTTCTCAGTTGTTACCAACTTTTCTCGAAAGATGTTTCTGTATCTGTTTACAAGGAAACTACTGAATTGTAATGAAGTCACACAATTCTCAGAATCTCTGTGCTACAAAACTTAATTGACAAATTACACAGCTGTTTTGCCATGCCTTCTTTTAGATCTGTCATGGCACCTTCCCTGCCGTTACCACCTTGATTCATGGAATGATCAAGCATGCAAGGGTTATGTTTCTGAATTTACAATATAAATCTTTTTTCACATGTTCTAGAATGGGATGTCTATACACTCCCATTTTAAGTATAAAATTGTAGGTGATATTCCACCTGCTACGCAGCCAGTAGTGCACAATACAAAACAAAAAGTAACCAGCTGCAGATGTCCGGTACATGCAGGAATTCTTTTGTCAGCATCTCAACAAAAGGCATTTATGGGTCTTGAGTTAAAATTCTCAGAACTCTCTGCAGAATGATTTCATGCTGGTTTTCTGCCCAAGGGGAAAGTTCCATCCCTATGAGAAATGCATTTAATTGTTCTGCTAAGTAGTCTCTCATAAATAATTAGCCTGGTATATTTTATATATACATAAATTTTTATGTATTTATTTATTTTTACTGTTGATTTGTATGCTCATGCAAGTTAATTCTGAACTATTGCTTGACTGACACAAAATGCCCTACTGTGATACTAGATATTGCCTACCAGAATGAATTAGAACTACAGATATAGTGAAAACAAGTTTATAGCAAATGGCTGTTAAAACAGATTCTCCTTATTTACAAAGCCATATTGCATGTGGAAAGTATTTAAGATGGATTATGTATGTTTCTAATGTTTCTAAGTAAGAAAATAAACATTTGGGACTTACTGAATAGTCCACTGAAAACTCTGGGAATCAGTATTTCTTTCAAAAAACCTTTGGATCACATTACTAAGAAAGAGAACTGATACTGCATGGAAGTAAAAACTCATTTTTCACACTGTATGACATGCTACTCTAGATCTTGAAATAGTACCATGAAACATAATGTGACAAGAGCAGGAGTAGACAGATGGTATGGCAGATAGGGCTTATTTCTATCTCCTGCTTCTGGGAACCAGCAGAGCCCATAATTTGCTGACTATTAACATTAGTCCGCAACATTTGTGTGGAACCATTGCACACAGATTGGCCCATTTCCATACTAAACAGATAGAGAGTAAAATGAATTGTTTCTGCCTGCCCGGTTATGCATATTATTTGTTGCTTATGCTTTTGTGATCAAGACCTTTTCTTTTTCTTTTTTTTTTTTTTTTTTTCTTTTTTTGTCGTGCAGCTCTAGATATGTGTAAAGTAACAGGTGTAAGTCAAGTTCTGAAACCCTTACTTTCCACACAGAAAATCATCCTTTAGTGATGTGAAATGGATGACCTGAAATAATGCAAGGGCATAGGATTTAGTTGAGAAACTTGAGTGAAATTACTAAGCAGAGATGTCAAAAGCTAGTTGCCCTGCTAAACTGCTTATAATACAGTTCCAGATGTTGATCTTGGCAGAAAATTTGTTTAATGCTTGGAAAAAAAAAAAAGGCATCCAGAACAATAACTCCACTGTACAGACTGACAAACTGTTCCATGTAGAAAAACATCTCTACTCTGACCAAGAATGTGTTTTGCCTAGAGGTACTGTTTCAGTATGATCTTACCTAAAAGTACATGTACTGCATATCCGTTTTTCAGACTTAATTCCTGAAGAAGCAGATGTGCTTTGTCTGTTAAATACAGTTTTTCCGACTCATCATGCCACTGGCAGTAAGACGATTTTCCTTACAAAGCTATGGGAAAAATAAAAAGTGCTTTCATTTTTATCAAAATTTGTCAGAATTTTCCTTGAAAAAAGTGTTGTGGGTTTTGACCAAGTCAAAATTAGGTTCAGTTGGGTTTTTTTTGTTTGTTTGTTTGTTTTTTTTTTTTTTGTGTGTGTGTGTGTGTGTGTGTGTGTGTGTTTTGGTTTGGTTTTTTAATTATCTACTCTATTATTTTTTTTCAGAGGCTTTCAGTGACATTCAGAGCTCCGTCTACAGAACAGCCCTAAAACTACGCTCACTACAAAGTCTGTGCCAGTGTTAGTAGATGAAGAAAATTATGTGCTTTTACGGCAAGAGGAATGTGTAAAAATTCTGTGTTGCTGCCACCATGAGTTATTACACTACTTTCCTCTCTCATTTTCCACCTGAAAAATTCAGAGTGCATTATAAATGCTTAAGAGCTAGATAGTTTTTTGTATCTGTCTTCTCCCTATTTGAATATACATTGGAGTATATTAGTAAATTCTAAATGCATGAGAGAACTAAGGTGCTATTTCTATCTACGTTGTTATATAGACATCACTGACAATTAATGAATCTTTATCTATATATTATCTGTAGGAGTTGAATTATTGGAAGTAATCATAGCTAATCAGAAATGTGTATACAGGCACTAGAAGAATTAATGAGAATTACTGTGCTACAACATTATAAATATTATAATGTGCACATATTATAATGTTACAAGTATTAATGAGAAATGTTGTAAGTATTAATGAGAACAAACCAAAATATGATAGATAGAAAACCCCAGCCTAGCACTCATTCTCCCTGCATTTGAAGTAATAATTCTGGAATTTTCCAATGTTAACAATCTGTTGCTGAAAATGTAGTTATTACAAGTCAAATGTTTAGGGCAATGTCAAAAGATGTCTAGTTTGTGGTTGTGGCCATGTGTATTTGAGTACGCTCTGTGAACATATTTGGCTGGATTTCAGCCCTGGCATGCTAAATCTGCCTGGTGCTGTGTCACAGCATGGAGGTACCAACTCACAGAGGCACTGGTTTTCATTAGCTCTATTGCTTAGACCTCCATGTTGCCACAGCATTCATAGAAACTACTCCACTTACCCTCTTCCTTTAACACTGGTGACCAGAATTGCACACAGATGGAGCTTCACCACTGTCTCACACTGATACTTTCAGTCTTCACTGGAAAGACAATTGGTGACATATTCTAGGGTCTTCTCTCCTTCTTCAGCAGCCTTATTGTTTTGAGAGTGATGAGAGATGAATACATGCATATACTCCAATCATCCATTATTAATTCTAATTAATCGTGCTTCTGTTGTACTGGATGTGTCCTTTAAGCAGTCATAGCTCATTCTTCCCACTGGGTATTAGTTATGATACATTTTATAGTATAGCATATTAGCAACTTTCTTGGACAAAGTATCTTATTTCTCTTTGTATCTGGAATGAGAAGAAACCCCCCTCCAAAGTACACATTGATTCCACAGTCCTAATGGAACTTAATTTTGAAATACAAAATGGTGCATGAATTCGTGGTCTCTCTTTCTACATATATAATGAAATGTAGCTCTACACTTTAGTTGCAGTCACTGTGCTGTTTTCATTTGTAATTTGCGTGCAGTTCATTATGTTATTTTCCTTCCCCTCCTATTTCAAAATTACCTCCAGAAAATTTTAGTTGAGCTGTTCTGCTCTTACAGCCTCACAAGCTGTGCTGTATCCCTAAACCCAGTGAGATCTTTTCCTGTTTGTTTGGGTTTTTTTTGAGTCACATGCTGTGTTAAACTTAATTGTCCAGACTTACTTCAAGTAGGTACTTCTGATTAAAAAAGAGAGGTCCAGCTTCCACTCAAGAGAAAGCAGGAATCCTCATTTGTTTCTTCTTTTGTTTTCCCACAGTGGATTTGATCAATGTTTCTCTGATTCAGCACATTGTATCAAGTGAGCAGAGGCAGAGAGAAAAGGAGATTTCTCTGAAAGTGCAGCGGCTCTCTGGAATGCTGAAGGAGCTGTTTGAAAGAGCAAGGTTAGAAAAGCCAGGCCAGGTAGATCCAAGAGCTGCTGAATTCACACTGAGCCTGCTAGAAGCCATGTATGACAGGTGAGAGAGAGCACAAATATAAATCCATCTTACGTCACTTCTGTATTAAACTCTACCGTGATTATAGTATTTTCTTTAAGTTGTGCACAGTGTATTGAAGATACAGGAAGGTGGGGCTCAAAACATTAGAAGAGAAACAGTACTAAGAAAATTCCAAAAAGTCTGGATGTCTGCCTGCCTATACTAGCTCCTTCTGTGAACGTCAGTGTACTAAGAGAGACTCACTCACTTGACAGCCAGGGTACACTTCTGAATAAAAATCCGTATTTGCCTTTGTATATGCACAGGTAAAGACTTTACCAGCCATTTCTCATTATTCATTTTTCTCCAGCTTATTCACAAACAATATGGATTAATTCATTAGAATCATAGAATTGCTTAGGTTGGAAAAGACCTTCAGGATCATCAAGTCCAACCAGAACCTAACCATACTACCTTAACTTTAATAACCTTCCACTAAATCATGTCCCTGAACACCACATCCAAATGGTTTTTAAACACATTCAGGGATGGTTTCTCAACCACCTCCCTGGGGAGCCTATTCCAGTGCTTAACAACCCTTTCTGTAAAGAAGTTTTTCCGGATATCAGACCTAAATTAATCTTAGGAATGGTTCATTACAGCATCAGATTTAAAATAAAAGGCTTAGTTCATTGTTGAGTTTACTCACCACAGATGAAATTAATTCCCTCTTTCATCAGAGCAAAGCTTTTTACTGAGAATGTAAGATATAGATATTCTACAAGATTCCGTGTTGAATTAATCATACAATTATTACTATTTAAGATCCCATGTTATTAATTTTTTGTACTTCCAACATCAGTAAAGTCTAAGAATAAATAGATGTATTTCAAATCAGAGCTAAAAACATCAAGTGTCTTTTGTAATTTTCTTGCTGTAAGTATCACCTCAGGAAAACCATTTAGAAGAATCTCCTAAATAGGACTATTTCGGTCTTTTTTTCCTGTTTTGCAAGGATGGTGTATTACTTTCTTCATGCTGTAATATCTTTTTATAAATCTGTTTCCACAAGCTGCATAAATAGGATAGAAAATGCATTTTGTAATTTTCTTCATAACATGTTTTCTCTTTGCTGTTCTCTGCTTTCCATTGCCAATTGAAAGTAATTCAAGGCAAGAACATACAAGTGCTCTGCCATGTCTCTGTGGTTGTTTAATTGCATGCTTACATAAACTTTTATAAGGGTTTTTTGGTTGTATACTTCATGAGATTTGAAAATAATTGTCACAAAAATGTTCTTGTAAGTTTCAGTAAACAGCAATGTGGTGAATATTGTATGCATGTTCTATTTGAATTGCAGTGCAATTAAAGGAAGTTAATCCAAGAGGTAGGTGCAGGGGTATGTCTGGGGCTGCAGTGAGGTTACCTCATGATAAAGTAGAAAAAACAGATTGTAGTCCTGCTTTCTCATCCATACTTGGAAAGGCCTTCTACAAGTAAAGAGGATGATAATTAATTAATTACTTTTAGAATGAGTATTATAAGAATAAAATTACGTTTTAATTAGAATGTGAGATTTTAAGGAGATATTGTATTTTTGTTCTAAGATTGAATGGTATCTTGCACGTTGTAGTCACGTTCAGTCACAAGGAGTCCTAGACATGAAATATCACTGCAGCGCTACATCTGCTGTGTACATACAAAAGAATATGAATGTTGAAGTTATCTTACAGCATAGCTATTTTTTCTCTTTAGAGGTTTCAGGTTTTGTGTTCTTGGTGTATGTAACGTAATTGATTTTATTTTTCTAGCTCTGGAACAGGTTATATCAAAACTAGATCTGCTGCAGCTGCCCTAATTGCCCTTTCAGGAGACACTCTACTTGCTAAATACAGAGGTGGGAAATGTACAGTTTTATATACTGTGTAAAATACTGAATCTTGAGAAAATACTCAAGTTGGATTTTTTTTGTTTGTTTGTTTGTTTGTTCTACTTTAAAAAATTATAAATCTGATGCAGAAAGTAAATTAAGTTGTAGGAAAAGGCTGATGCAGAAAAGTACTTGCTCATCAGTGTTCATATTCATCTCTGCAAAATGGTCAGAGCTCAGTAATGAAGACCAAGTTCTGTTTGTCTAGCAGAAAAGAACAGAAACCCTTTGTTTTAAATTTCATTAGAGCCAAGAAACAAATGCATGTATTTGATCCAGGAAGTCCTTAGGGATCTTTTAAACATTAGACAAGAAATGCTTAAAGAAGTATAAAAGATAAAGTTAGCCCAGTGCATGGAGCAGCACAAAGGCTTCCACCTGAATTAAATGCTCAAAATGGAGAACAAATGAACTTCAAGAGGCATATTGGCTTCATACTCTCCCATTGCTTATTATGCGTTTTTTTTCAAGTTACTTGGAATTGACAATTCACAATTTAAACAGGATATATTTAACTATGCTTCTTACAGCCATGAAAATGAGCTTCGTGTTTCCTCCATCCTTCCAGTCTTAACTTTTAAGAATAAGAGATTGCTTTAATTTCATTCTTAATTTGCTATTCTCCATTTTCTCTTCTCCCTGTTGGGGTAAGTATAGTCAGCAGTCACTGAGTGCTTGCTAGATTTGACAGTTAAAGGAGAGTTGTTTTCAGAGGTTTACTTGATACTTTGTAATAATCATGCAGATGTTTTGAGAATAAGTAACTGGAAGACTCCTCAAGCCCTTTTAGGATTCTAGTTTCCTTTCTCTGGTTGTTTCCAGCTTTCTTTGAGTTTTATGCTGTTCCTGGTGGGAAGAAGGCCTTGATTACCTGTAGTGCTCTGAGAAGCCTGCTAACAGACTTGAATCAGGTAATGTTGTTGCAGTGCTTTTAGGTAACAAGTCTCACAGGAGGAATTCTAATCTGAAAGAAGAACATGTATTGTTGATACTTCTTATGTTTGATTATATTATGGGACTGATGTCAGCAGGGCACCGTGTGGACTTAGGGATCTATCACGCAAAGCAGGCAAAATAATCAAATTCTCTAGCTATTTCTTAGTCTAAATAATGTCTGACATCGGTATCTGTGTATTCATTTTGCCTGAGCTTAAAGGTTCTGGGAACAGCTGCATGCAGCCATTGCTAAAGCAATTTCTATCTTCAGATGCTTGCACTCACTAGAATAGCTTGCAATTGTAGAGTAATGCCTTAGCATGCAAGTATTTCCAGCTGAACTGGTGCTAAAAATGGGGTCTTAGAATGATTCCTGAGGTTTAAACCTACTATCTTTCAGTATTCTAATGTAGCAACATAGTATATTGATCCATTAGAATAAGTGAGCTGGATGCAAATCATTCTGACACCTGTTGAACTCCGAAACTGTGCACTGATGGTATGAATCTGAACAGCTTTTCTTGAGGAGAGTATGTCAAATGGAATTTCTATAGGCTCTTCACCACCTGTGTGCTGTCACCATCTCAGTTGAGCATGATGGGAAGATCTGTTTTTTATTGAGGTGCTTCTAAGCCTTTCTTCTCAATGCAGATCCCAGCCATTGTAGGAGAAGGCTGCACTTTGTCTTGTGTGGAAATTGCTACTCACAACTGTTTCCAGGGGGTGAGTGAAATTCAGATGTCCTGGGAAATTACTTTGATTGTTGATGATAAATTAAGATTGGAAGTGCATCACCATATGACATATACCAGTATATACTTTTAAGAAGCAGGGCTGTTTGTCATTTTCACAATATAGAGGAGTGATATCTATGGAAAAGATGCTCAGTAAGATACAGCCGAAGACTTACATTTATTCTAAACCTTTTAAATCCAGAGTGTTTTATATGAGTGAAAAAATCCCTGCTAGTAGAGTCCAATGTATGAACTTACATTAATAACTGTAGATGAGACACTAGTTCTTTTCAAGTAAATGGCTGAACTCGAGATGTGTATTTTTTCCAGGTTCTGAATTCAGGAATTGTTGAAGAAAAATTCCTGTCTTGGCTGAGATCAGGACCTGCTCTTCTGCAATGGCTCCCTACATGTTACAGATTATCAGCCACAGAAAGGGTTTCTCACCATGTTAGATGTAGAGTCTGCAAGACATTCCCCATTACAGGCCTCAGGTATGTCAGTAACTACTGTAATCTATAGTACCCATGTAGAAAGTTTTTGCTATTGTGTTTGCATACTCTGCAGGCTGAAACTACTATGTTAAGCAATAGACATTGAACATAACAAATCAGATGTGGGAAAGTGAGGGCTATCCCAGGCTCCAGCTTGACTCAGGCTTCCATCCTGTTTCACTTTATTTCACTGGCACAGGCATTATTATGGACACTTATGGAAAGTAAACTTGCAGATCAGTGGTAAAGCCATAAATTGAGCTTATGTGTCTCATTTTATAGTTCTTTTTCCCATAATCAGTTGGGCATATTAACTGTCTAGTTAAGTTAGCCATCTTACAACTTTATTCAACTCAGTAAAAATACCTCCTGATTAAAAAATAGACATTACCTTGGACCAGAATGCATAGAACAGCGTTTTACTGTTACTGTCTTCTCACTAACAGTAAGATTAGAGGGTTTGTGGTTTTTTTCTTTCTGAATTTTTGTGAAGTTACATTACAGTTCAGTGAGAACAGCAGATAGAGGTAAGCTAAAAGAAACATGTGAAGATGTCACTGCATTTTCAAAAATGATACTAGAACAACTGTGGTGGTTTTTTTGGACTGAAATTCATTGCAGCAATTTAATAATACCAAAATTCATGACTGGATTCTGGAGATTATTCCATTGTCATGTGAACAAAATAATTCTTGCTATTCAGAAAATGCTGGTGAAAATCTTTATTCTAACTTAGGTGCTTCTCTGCATTTCAGAATGCAGGGACATGAATTTCTGGTAGTCAAGCTCACTTACATCAAGTTCTCAGTTGCAAGGAAGTAACTTAATCCTTTAGTTTACTTTCACAGGTATCGCTGTCTGAAGTGCCTGAATTTTGACCTTTGCCAGGTCTGCTTTTTCACTGGCCGTCTCAGCAAACCACATAAGAGTTCACATCCTGTTGTGGAACACTGTGTGCAGGTAGAGTCCTACTCCCCTGTTCTGGTTCTTTATATGGACAATTTGACAATACACTCTTGAGCTAAACTGATTATAAAATTATGTATATGTCAGCCATGGTACCCATGAGACATTAGGATTTATTTATCTGAGAACAGTGAGTCAGAGAAAAGAAAAAAAAGAAGACTTCTAACTTAAGAAATGTTCTGTTCCGAAATAACTGAATAGAGACATGAAATGTCAGACTGCAAGTCCTCTTCCCAGGGAGATGTTTGGTTAATATCTTCATTAAAAATAATATAGAGATGTTAGTTCCTCCAAATATCCTTCCTTATGCTCCATGAGAAAACAGAACAATCAAATGACAACTTATCTCCTCGTGCAGAGATTTCTATTAGGGACATTCAATTGAATGTGTATGGGGAATGCATGGGAAGGTGTGAATGTCAAAGCATGAGAAGGAGGGATGTGTCAAAGTCAGGAGATGATTCAACCTAGATTAGTTGGTCAGCAAGCTCATAGCCCTTCCATAAACACAGCTTCTCAGGATGCTCAGATTAGGAAAATAAAAAACAACCTGAAAAAAAGGACAAAGCCATTTGAAGATAATGTAAAGGTAAAGGACAAGACTTGTGGTAAAACATCCAAAGAGACAGAAGATAGCAAATAAATCCTCATGACCCACAGAACTGAGCAAAGGTGGAGTGACAAAAGATCATGACTGTGAGTTCCTAAAGGAATTAAAGGTGCATCTGAAAAACAGCGCAGTGCATGTAACCCAGGAGTCTGAAGGAGAACTGGCATCTCTTTTCCTCCATGTGTGAGTCACTGTAGTCATACCATGTGGATACATAGATCTTGGTGTGTGAATGCTGGAGAGAGCACCTGAACACATGCACAGTAGTACTTCTGGACGAGTTAGTGTGAGCGAGTGAAATAAATTTTGCTTTAAAATTAAGTCCTCTTTCTCTCTTAGGCTGCATGACATTAAGTTTTCCTATGTTGTTGCTGCAGTATTGCAACTGAATAGGTGTTCTCAAGTTATGTAGAATGGGGTGTGTTGGAACGGACCTTTAAGATCTGGTTCCAACCCCCCTGCTATAGGCAGAGACACCTCCCTCTAGACCAGGTTGCTCAAAGCCACATCCAGACTGGCCTTGAATGCTTCCAGGGAGGGGGCATTCACAACCTCTCTGTGCAACCTGTTCCAGTATCTCACCGCTCTCAAAGTAAAGAATTTCTTCCTAATATCTCATCCAAATCAACCCTCTTCCATTTTTAATTTCTTCCCTTTTTGTGAAACATGTAAATATTGCTAGTGAGCCCTTTTTCCCATACATTTTACTTTTAGCAGTTCTCAGTCAATTACATTTTTACTTTTTTTCTTTACCAGGGTGTGGGATGCTGAGATGGATTTGAAGTGTCAGCATTGTTTTTCTTTGCTGTGCTGACACCTTGTGGTAATATTACCATTGAGAAATGACTGGGATGCATGCTGTATGTTTTCTTCTGTTTTCCTGTTCAGTCTGTTAAGCCTTTCCCAATATTCTGCACCAGTCATTTTCTGGGAAAGAATTGATTCGTGTCCTGCCATACTATAGTTGTGTAGCATAGTTGTTTTACCTGCTGTGACAATTGCAAGTATGGTTTTCATTGTACTGCATAAGAGGAGGATGTGAAACACTGAAGGCTGTATACATTAAAACTTCGTATCAATTTAAAAATTACTTTTTTTCTATTGTTCAAAAGAGAATTTATGAACTAATTGGACAGAATTCTTGTTGTTCATCTCACAAACACTGTATTAAACATTTCCAGGCTGCTTTGGTTTGGCCCAGGCAGGGTATTTTGCTTACATAAGAGAACTGGAGCTGATCTTGCCTGTGGTCCTGCATCATCATCCTCTCTAGCTCCACATCTCAGACAGCAGTCATGAACCTCTTCAGCTGTTGTTCAACAGCTGGAACTTTGCACATGTCTTGCCTTTGCCTTGGGCTATGCCTACTTTTGGGCAGCACCTGTTTGAAAATTCACTCCCTTCTCTGTAATCCCTTATCCCAACAGATGTCAGCAAAGGCGAATGCAAAGCACTTTCTCTGCACTGTCAGAAACAACCTGTTTCAGGACTGCTGCAGAAGAAAAGAGGCTCAGGAAAGGAAGGTTCTGGAGATAATGGAGGAGAGGCATTTCCCTACTCACAAAAAGATTCTGTGAGTTTCTGTTTTCAATGAATTTTTTCTCTCTGAATGAAGTGTCAGGCTGTAGGATATTGCTTGATTGTGTTCTTTAAGTAAGTGACTTTGTTATGACAGACTGTGTCATGATTTTCCTGTAAAAAATTGAAAACATAAATGGGAAGCTGCTGCTTTCCCATTGTTCTGTTGCTTAACCATTATTACCATGCTGACAACCTAATGACCAGCTGTCTTAAAAGATACGTGTTTGTGTCTTCCCTCCCTCCTTCCCTATGTCATCTCTTTCTTTCCGTGCCATATCTAATGCTCAGACTAAGGTCAAGCATTGCAAATATTTAGTACCTGTCATGGAAAAACCGTGTGGGTTTTAAGTACCTCCTCTGTGACAAATTCATTGGAAATTAAGTGAATACTTCCTGCACGTGAGCCACAGTGCTTTCTCTGAGTAGCAGTTCTGTGGGATTACTCACTGTTGAGAGTAGCTGATTTTTTGCATTATGATTACAGTTCTTTTAGGTCAGTTCCATTTTGCCTGCTTTTAGTTAATGTGTAAATTCATTACTGTATTTCCACAGATTGCAGTAGTTAATGATGAGCACTGGAAGTTGTGTTACGATTTTCTGTGTAGTTACTCCTTTGCTCTGGGATTTTGGTTGATAGAATCTAGAAACTGAAGAGAACAATAATATGTGATAAGCACAAAGACTTAGGAAAGGTGAAACACCTTGCTTGTTGTGTAAAGACCTAGTAACTCTCAACATCTCATGTTTTCTGCAAATGAGAGTGAGAACGAAACAGAGAAAAAAACATCACAGCTCTCTAAAAGTTATAATAAAATAATTTCATCCTTGTGGGAAGAAAGAGAAAGATCTGGTTATAAAACTTGAACTATACTGTAGTGTATATAGTTACAATGATTGTCATAAAGAATATTATTTCAATGCTTGTTCTTCAGAATGTGGTGAAATGCAAACCATTTTCCATTGTTAATATATCCCCACTTCTTCTCAGCAGTGATACGTTTCCTCATTCTTGAATATCATTTAATCCTTCTGTGAGCAATCAAGATTTCTCTGTGATTCTCAGTGGGTTTTTTCTTACCTTATGCTTGGATTGCATTTAGTGAAAAAGAAGCATTTGAAGGTATCATTGTAGGTGTCACTGTGTGGCTGATAGGTATCTGGGCTTTTCCAGAATAACCAGCACAGCAGGATGTCTGGCCATTTCCAATCTTTTTATCGTTGAATTTCCCAAAATATTTAGCTAATGTGAAAAAGAGAAGGAACAAATTGCTCTGATGCTAATGGAAGGAGAGAAGAATCTGATGTTGAGGTTCTGTTAAAAGAGTGGAATTTGTTTTAAGAAATTTCATTCTTTCAGCCAAAATCTGCCAGTGGATATAGCTGGACCATACCTCCTCCTTAGTCAGTAGCGCAGCTGTTTCTGCCCACAGTTCTTCAGTTTTATCTTGATCCTTCAGGGTACCAAAACCATATAAAGCTTGATCTTTTCTCTACTCAGTATTTCTCTGTTGGTATACAGTCCCCCAGCAGAACTCAGTGCTTCACCATTGCCTACACATGAAAACCTGTCTCTCCCAGTGAACAACCCTATTCTGGAATCACCCAAGTTTATATCCAAAAACAGAACTGTGCTGCACAAGAATGACAATAACAGCAAGATACTGAAGCAAGGCAAGACAAAAATTCAGGTTAGTGAGACATCAAGGTGTAATAGTATTAAAGCTCGAAAGAAGACCTACCATGTTAACTATCTAATTGATCTCTAATTATGAATGTAAAAGGAATGTAATGGACAGCTTCATCTTTCTGTGAAGAATGAGGGAACTGAAAACTCAGTGAACAAGATTAGTCACTAACTCCTTGACTTCCATGACTTTTGGTAGCATTTGTAGGAATATTTGCTTTGTTAACTTTTTTCTTTTCAAATTGTCTTAGAGCAGCATGTTAAAGACTAGTTAATACTAGAGCCCTCTCTCTATTGTGAAACAAAAAATGCCATCATGACCACACATTGCAAGCATCGAGTAAGGGCATCTTAATTCTTAATAGGCTTAGACCTCCTTTGTCACTATAGCAATATAAGAGGATATTATGGGCCCTTTTTAAGGATTAAGTAGTGTCCACTTCAACTGAAATAGCTCATGCATAAAAGCTTTCCACCAATCTATTTCCAGGTTCCCTGCACAGAAACAATACTAGAGGAGTGGAAAGGATAGTGTAAATAAAAATAAGTATATAGCAGTTCTGTGTTTCTATATTTATTTGAGAGGTTCATAGTTCTGCCCTTACCTGGAAAATATGGAACACTGGGTTGTGTTCAAATCAGTTTGTGTCATCTACTCATTCTGTTCTTCCCGCAAGCCAAGAGTGCAGTGACTGCGAACTACCCTGCATGTGTCGGGTCACTCCCTTGGCTGCTACTCCTGTGCTTGTCCTTTTGAAGCAGGACTGTCTTTTAGGTCTCTGCCCAGCATGAGATGTAATGCCAGCAAGCACATGTCCACAGGAGCAATTATGAGCAGATAATGCTTAGGCATGTCATTTTGATGGTTCACACTTGTCGTTTCTGAAGACAGTGAGACACGACTATAGTGCTACTCTGTCAAATGCAATTACTGTCTTGTTGAACTTTCCCTTGGGTGGAATTCTTTTAGAGTATTTTAATACTGATTTCCAACAGTAGCGCAGATTGCTTAAAAAGATGCATACTGTAAGTCCTATGCAAGGTAACTTTTAAAAGAGTCCATAAGCTTGAAGGTCCTAGGGTCCCAACTATGGGTCTCAAAATCACCTGGTTGCCCAGGTTCCAGCGCGGCTCATGTCATGCCTCTAAAGCAGCTTATTTGGAAAACATTTGACTCCATGACTTCTGGAACTACTGTTCTGCATGGCCCAGAGGCTACTACTTGCACCCAAAGACCAGAAGTTTCTCCCTTCTACATCCAGTCTGTCTTCCTACATTTCCTTGTCCCAAAGCAGCTGCGTGACTTGGGAGAGACTGTTCCCAAATCAGAATATTTCATTTTTCAGGATTTTCAAAGAATTAGGTTTTGTTCTGACTGGAGAGAAAACATATTCTGAAACACTCAGCATGTGTCATATAACAAAGAATTTGTCCTATATTGAGCAATCTGTCAGTCCATTTTAGCAGCCGTCACAAATACATTCATGTATTTGTTGGGTGCAGTCAGTTAACTAGGAAGGTAGCAAATAAACCCATAGAACCGGTCAAATCCCCCAGTTGCCATGCCTGTTCATAACAATTCGCAAAGAAAATAAAATTTTATTGCTGGTAAGTTATGAACAGATATTTTTCTGTGTTTTATTTTAGGCAATTGCATTTTGTGAAGCAGAGATGTTAAAAATGCATGATTCCATCAGGAGTATTCACAATAAGAGCAGGTAGGTAAAAACAGTATTTCAGTGACCACTGATTTCTGGGCAATTGTTGTGGTTTAACCTGCTAGATGGCTCGGTACCACACAGATGTTCACTCACTTCCCCTCACCCTCTGTGGAATGGAGAAGAGAATAGGAAAAAACATAGAACTCCTAGCTTGAAATAAAGACAGTAAAATAGGACAAAAAGGAAGGAGAAATAATAATAGTATATAAAACAAAAGATGCACAGTGCAACAGCTCACCACCTCCTAAATCCAAAACACAGCACAGTACCAGCTAGGAGGAAGAAAATTAACTCTATCCCAGCCAAAACCAAGACAGCAATACAGTGAATGATTTTGAGATTTTAAATAATTCCTCTCAAGTGAGGATGAATGAAAAAAGTCAGCAACAAAAGTTGCAAGTGAAGATCACTGGAAAAACAGTTTCAGGCAAAGAAAAACCCTTTGACCTAAAGCTTATCATAACCGAATGAATGAATTACATTACACATGGGAAGTTTTTTGTTATTGTTTGCAGACCAGTTTACAATGTTTATGTCTGCTCATAGAACCAAACTCTAAGGTAGTTAAAAGCAGTCATTAATTTACAGTAAAGGCCCATTAAATGCTTTAATAGGGGACCAAAATGTAATATTAAATTTGAGGTGATCTATCTTGTCCCATTCTGACAAATTGTGCATGATTTCAGTGAAGCTGATGTTGCTGTTGTCTGTGTAAGCCAATGAATGCACACAAAAAAATGAATCAGATAAACTTCTGGATGTAACTAAATGAGACAGATAACTGTTTTGTCTGGGTAATATTTGGCAGTTGGCTTATTACTGCATCATTAACAAGTTTTTCTCTCTGTCTTCACTTCAGCCATGGGAAAGGCAGAAATGTATTTCTGCCCAGGCTTCTTAGAGATCCCACTTCTAGACCAGAGATATGGTAGTAGTTTTAACATGCTGTGTTCTGTGTAGGTAATTTCTAAATCTTCCCTGTGTGTGAGAGAGTGAAGCTTCTAATCATTAAAGTCTCAGTATCATTTCAAGGGAAAGTGGCCTGCACAGGGTCTTGTTGGTATTGTTAAACAAGCTTTACAGAATGCCAGGCACAACAAGGGATTCAATTAGAGAGGGAAAGGCTGCTTTTTTTCTAATGATGCCTACAGAAAAAGGATGCAAATCTTTTGCAGATCAGAGATTTGCCTTAAGAACTGCCTGAGAGGTTTGTTCCTAGAAAAGGGACTGCTCTTTGTATTGCAGCTGTCTTTATGGGAATGGTAAACCCCAAGATGCAAGTCTCTGTCCTGGCTGCACTTCCACTCAGCTTGCATCTTTCCCCCAGTACATTCCTGTTCTTGATAATTCTGTGTGTACAGCCCAGTTCCTGAAATGCTGTCATCTCAGACAGAAGCTCAACTGACAAATAGAAGAAAGCTTGCTCTACAGTGTTTGCGCTTTTCCATGTTTGGAAATACGTGTGTTTGTAATGGATCTAGAAGTATTCCCACACTCCTGTCTCCCTGAAAGGTACATGAAGAAGCAATTGAATAAATGGAAGCACAAAGTGCAATTTCTTCATAACTGCCAGGAGGACAGAAGCTTCAAAATACAGGCAGAACTCCAAAGCCTGAGAGCAAGCCATGAAATCCTGCAAATGGAGCTGTGTGAAATGAAGCAAGAAGTAAAGGTATAGTGATAAAATTAATGAAGAATCTTCTCAGCTATGGACAGTTACCGAACACTAACCACTGCTTTTCTTGCAGACCACTTCCCTTGAGTCTATTTCATGCATTCTCTGTTTATCTGCTCAGTCAGCTCCAGTTTTTACCTTCATAGAGAGCAGGTAGGCTCTTTGTGGCAGGGATTTTCTTCTCATTCTAAATATATTTAGCACTTAGTACAGGTAGACATGTCTGGGATATTTAGATAATACTGCAATGAAGATAATGAGAAATAATTCCGATAAGAGTGGGAAAATGGTTCTCAGAGGAAGTATTAGATATTTCATTGCAGTTGTTCCTTTAGAGAGGAATGCTATATAGACACAGAATAAATAAAATTCTGTTCTATCATTCCTAATTGTTGTCTTGTACCGGGATGTAATGCAGACCTCCTAGAGAAAATTTTTTTTTTTCTTTTCAGTTATATTAACTCTTGTTCATTTGAACTGTCTCTGAGGTTCTGAAGAGATTCTGTGTTACAGGGAACTCATACGTATTTTACACTACAGCATTTTGTGGCATTTTCTGCCATGCAACTTTTAGACTGTTTTCCAAGTCAAACATTTAGGAATACAAGACACATCTGCAGTGCACAGCTTTATGGCACTTGCACATGGAGTCCGATATGACCTGGCATGCCACCACACTGCGTGCTGTAACGCTGCCCTGTCCACAACATGCAGGATTGACTGCGCAAATGCAGCCAGGTGCCCGGTGTATGCACAGTTAGTTCAGTGTTCATGCTATGGTGTTTGCCATCCTGATGCAGTATAGAAAATTCCAAATAGATTTGTGGCACCAAAGCTAGCCTGGTTTTGGAATTGTGCATGTCGGTGGTTGTGAGGTGTTTGATAAGTGCTTAATTTGCATATATGGTTTTTCCCCTAGTTTAATTCTTTTAGATTGACTTTCCTGCAAATTTAGTCTTTAGAACACTATTTTCTTCAATTTTCAATGGCATTGAAGCATATGTCCTCAGATTGGAATTGTGGGAAAAAATGGCACATAGATCTATCCAAACTCAAAGTTTTATTTCACCGCAGGAAAATAACTTTATTTGTAAAAATTATTGGGTAAAGTACACCAGAAATTATATATATATATATATATTAATCTGTCTCAGAATGAATTTTCCCACCTATTTTACCAACACGCAAAAACAACAATTATTTTCATAATATATTTTCTGTTTTTTCTACTGTAGACAATGTTACAGTCAACAGCACATCCTTCAATTTCACTGTGTCAGAGTACGATGCCAAGAGATCAGCATGTTCTTCAGGAAAGCAAAATGCAGGGTGAATTATATCCTGTTCAAATAAAACCCATTTGCAGAACAAGTTCAGATTGGAAAGCTTTGAATCACCTCAACTCTGCAAATAGAATACAGGTTTTAGAGTCACCTGAGGCTCCTGCTACAGTGGACTTCATGTTCTCAGAAGACCTGGTGAAGTCAGTGACCTTGCAGAGTGACAGAGTTTTCATGGGACAGTTCAAAAAAATAAAAGATAATCAAACATATCTGCCTGAATTGATGGAAAACTACGACAGTGGCATCCTAAGGAATACAGCTGTTACTCCTGCTGCAATACAGATACCATCTGATGAGGAGTTCTGTGATGAAGTGGACCTGCAGCAGCTAGTGGTGAAATTGATGGATGCGTTGTCTCTTCAAGCCCAACCAGGTACGACTTCTCTTAGTTATCTAGACATTGTCTTCTCACCTTCATCCAGTTTTCTCTGTAAATCACTCATAGTCATTTAACTCTCACAGGAAACTCAGAATCTTGCCCTTGCCGTTATAAAAGTACTGCATAGCTGTAAGGTGCAGGATAGGTGTACTGTAAGGTGCGGAACTCACTCCGTTAAGGTAGACTATAGCCCCTAATACCTGAGTAATTTAAAACAAGCATGTAAGAGGAAGTCAGTCTCTGCAGTCAATTGAGGAGCAAACTTATACTGATCAGGTGCACCGCAGGTCTTTTCTGTTGTCAACTAATGCTCTGACACAGTAACTTTTGCTCTAGTCCTAGGCAAACTTTCAGCTGTACAAAATGCTTTTGTAATCAATAGTCTTACTACAGCAAAACTTTGTTCAACACTCATTATGATAATGAGGTTGTAATGAGGAGAGTAACAGAAAAAGCTGCTGCTTATACAGAATTGTATATAATAGAGATTTATGAAGATATGTTAGAGTTCTGGCAGCAACCAAGTTTTCTGAAAGACCTGTTCTTCTGTACTTTTCAGATCAACAGTCAGCCTTGAAGCAGCATTTCTTCTCTACAGCTGAACGTGTTTGCGGATCCTTCTCTGATCTCATCAACCAGGTAACTGCCAGCTTGGAAGTGACAGAAAATGGCATTCACCTTACAGCTCCACTGGACTATTGAAGGTAATTAAAGCCATGTCACACACTTTAAAATATCTCAGATGTTGCACTGTAGTAACCAAGCCTAACAGATTTCTGCATTTAACAACTTCACCAGGAACCATAAACAGTGTTAGAGAATAACATTTCTTATCCGTTAATGGTTTCTAGCTCCCGTACAGTAGATACAGGGCAACTGATTAAAACGAGTGCAACATCACTAATGCTTCACTGGCTTTCACAACTGTCCTGTACTCTCTTTTCATTGCTATATAACTGATAATGAATTGTGTTTCAGAAACATTTTTTTTTCCGATAAAAATGGCTTGATGCAGTGGTTTCAGTGATATATTGTCTATCAAGATTTTTTTTCTTAGTCTAAATGAAAGGAATACATTCTTTACTGTGAGATATCTCAGGACTCAATAGTTACATTATTCCAAATATTGAAAAATACATATTTAAAGGAAAAAAAAATGTTTAGAACATTTAAGGGAATTTAGTTGCTCTAGATGAACTGTTCCACTATGGATTGGTATATATGTATTTATACTAGTATAGAACAGTTATTAAGAATGCAATGTCTAATCCAGAATGGTTAATAAGAATGTAATGTTACCTACGGCATTAAAATGTGTGAGAGGTCATTTCTAATTGGTTGCTAGCACTGTATGAATCTAAAACTTCCAGAATATTAAAGATACATACAAAGCCTGCACTTACGCGTACAGGAGTACATCTGCCTATGTAAGTAAACATACAAATACTGCGTGGAAGTGTGGAAGTAGACAATTGGCAATGGTAGTAGATTGCACCTGTTGATGTAAACTGCAAGGAATCTATTAAGCCTCAGCAACAAGGAGGTTGGGGTTTGAAGAGAAAGGAATAGATCATACAAAAGAAATACTGCTTTGGCCCATTCATAGTATAGCCTAGGTTAATTTCTTATAGTGATGAGTAAATGAAAGCCTTGAAAAGAACTTACTTCATTCTTAGGAGAAAAATAATAGGACTCCTTGCTTTTCTTTCATCGCTTCTTGTTGACTACCTGTTTTTACAGCAGTACAACACCAGTGATTTCAGTGAGATACACTGGTATATTCTGTGATGATGGGAGTGTCACAATTGCATATTGTTTTATTAACAGCCATTCTGAAGGTTAAAATAATGGGTGAAGATGGGGAATATTAAAGATCTGAATGTTATTATCAGATGTTTTCCTTCTTTGAACTGTTAACTATTTATCAAGTGACTGTATGAACTGATGGCAAATTTACTAAGTGTGATTCTTCAGCCCATTTCTTTCCTCTCAGTTTTTGATGTGTCTTGGTTTAATTACTTGATAGGAATTGTGCTGTATCCCTTCAGGATGTACTGATAGTACATGGAAGTATTTTAAAGATCTGTGCTCGAAACCAGTCATGGTTCAAGAGCAATTTGCAGGTTTTTAAGGAGTTTAGTTGAGTAACTTGAATTATACCAGCTCAAGAGAGAAAAGACTCGTAATTTTATAGGAATTAGTTTGTGATGACTAAGAAAAGAAATTGAATTTGGGAAAAAAAGAAAAAAAAGGGGGGGGAAATTGCACACTCTGAAACTTAGTTTCATGTATAATGAAACACTTTAGACTAATGTGATAGAAAAGTGTAAAACTACTAAAAGTGTAGTGCTGAAGAAAAGCTGCACAGCAGACCACTTAATTTTCCACATATTTCCTCCTCATCTTTTTTTTCGTAATATGTCATAATCTCAAAGATACAGGAGCTGCCTAGAAAATGGCTAAAAATCTCATTTCTGTTTGTAACACCTCAGCTAGTTTCTTGAAGGACCTTGTACTGTGGATGGTAGTGATGGTGTTGAACGTTCCTGTTTTTTGCTGCTAGTTTTAGTCAGCAAAAGCCTTAAGTACACATGACACAAACATCCAAGAATTACAGCAACAAAGAGTGGTATGCAACTGTAGCTAACAGATTGTCTCTGGCAAATGAAGAGTGAAGAGGATGGAAGGTAAATAAACTAATTGACAAAGAAAGAGTCCAGAAAGCAGGAAACAAATAGCAGAGAGTTCGCTAGGAAGTGCATACCTCCATATGCTCGCATAAACAGATCAGTAGCTTTTCCAATATACCTGTGCCAGGAGATGCAAACAACAATCCAAACAGCATAGCTGGCTATTACTAGAAGATATACAGCAATTTCTGACAAGGCTTTAAATACTCTTCAGAGCAGGTGGTTGTGGATCAAAACCATTTGGAAACATTGACAACTGACAAATACTGGTTTGCTCAGATGCAGCATGGGACAGGCCTGGAACACAAATTCTAATGGATGGATATCTCTGAAATGTCCCTGAACCTCAGCATTTAACTTTCACTTCGCGGCAGTGAGTGAAGACTCAAGGAAGTATTTTCCACATCAGTAAGCAATTAATTACTTGCTAGCTCTCTATGAGATGAAAAGGGCAAAGTCTCAAGACTTCATTTTGTTGTTACTCAGTCCTGCACACAGTGAAGCAACCTCAGTCATAAATGTACATTCCACCCTTCTACTGCCACACTCAGACTGAGGAACTGGAAGTCAGGAGCAGAACCAGCAGAAACAATCTTGGGTCATGCCAAGATCTGCTAAGAAATTCACAGGGAAGAGGATAGGAAACAACTTTAAATTATCATTTTGAGACAGTACAGCAAATCTGCTTACATCTCATCCTCACTGTATTTGCTTTTCCTTAATGCAACCAACTTCGGAGGCCCCAGTTTATAATAAATGAATCGAAATCAAACAGCATCATCCAGCTGTGATTTTATGCCAAGTCACTGAGATCTGGATGACATAAGACCTAGATTATAAAACGGAATTAAGCTTGTGAGTCCTTCAGAGAGAAGAAAATGAAGTAGGAGTTTATGTAGGAATTCTATCGCATACATGTTTACATGAAATTTAATTCTCCTTCCTTTTCTTTTAATTGATTTCAGTACAAATAATAACACAGATCATCTCCTTTACATCAGCAATTTCCAAACGTTCTCTATAGTGGGACCTATGCTTAAGATTCATCTGTTCTCTTAAGTCTTTCTTGCACGCATTAATCCTTCCCTGCCCGTTTCTTCAAAGGCCAAATGGCTATACAGCCTGTTAATAAAAGAACTTGCTGAAGCAGAACAGTATTGTTATTTAAGCTAAGTATCTGCTTGACCAGCAATGGTATTCCTCAATTTCTGTTACTGTCTGAAGGGAGGAAGAAAGCTGCCAGTAACCTTTTTCTAAGAGATCCTCTTGTTTAGAAGGAACGTATGAAATTTCGATGTGTTTGCCTTTTCCCAAAGGGTGCTATGGAACAGAGTCTAACAGTACCTGTTTACATTCTGTTTTTGTTGTTGTTGTTTTCTAGACTTGAAAGCATATGAGAACGGATAGAATCTGTTCTACTACAGTTCCAGTCCTACTAGGCTGGGCACCAGGCCCATATTGTACTTTGTTGCTAGTCTTGGTAACTTGGGACTGTGCATGAAGATGGTCTCTCTTGTGGTAGTAGAAAGCTGTGCATAACAGGGTGTATAATCAAGATGTTATAATTTTGTATAACCAAGATGTTACAATCGCAATACAATCAATGAGAGTAAGGCAAAGCAGACAACGATCACAAAAGAGAATAAGTGGAAGAGCTTACCCTTGGGTTGAGCTCACCAGAAGATACCAAAGAGGGGATCTCCAGAAGAGATCCTTCCCCTCTGGTAGCCAGCTCTTAAATAGGTCCAGGAGGGGTGGAGCCTGGCTCCACCCCTTCCGGCAGCACAGGTGAATTGCCTTCACCTGTGCTCCTCTGGCTGACTCAAGGCTCACCTCAGGTGATTAATCAGAGGTTCAGGCCGTGACTCAGCAGTTCCCATACACAGGGCTTTCAGATACACTAATATAATTTAGATAATTAACAACAGTAGAATGAGAGGATCTGTTGTAACAATACCCTTGCCTCCCTCCCAAGTGGTAGCAGAGCACCCTTTCAGGCAGCAGCTGCAGGCAGGGGCAGGTGGGGCCATGCTCCTGTACTCACATTACTGTCATGATCACTTCTCTTGCACATTTACATGATTCTTTGAATGCTCAACTGTAAGCATGTATTCAATCCCGCTGAGCTTGGGAGGCTTCTTGAGGTTTGCTGTCTACTTTTGTAAAATCAGGATTCCATCCAATGGGATGATGAATAACATTTATTTTCTTCAGGTCCAATGGCCATTTCAAGATTTCATTTACACGTTTTCCTACTAGAACCTACAAGTTGCTGAGCACCTAATATGCTTCTGCAAATGAGTTTTGATTTGGATATTTTGTGAAGAAAAGAACAAACATTGCCATATGCTCAAGGAAAGAAGATTTGACTGAACAGCTAAATGGACCTGCCCTGGACAGCTGAATTTTGTATTTGCATACATCCAATATATCAGTGGTATAATAATATTATTATAATAATAATATCAAATTGCCTATGAGAGTTATCAATAAAAGTCAGAGGAATCTGTCTTGGTTACAAACAGCTTGCAAGCTAAAAGAAAGAAGCAATTTTAATTCATGTATGAGAATTCCTTTGTTTAAATACTCTGTGAGAATATGTTACGTTTTATGAAGCACTTGTCTAACTAGAAATCTAAGGAAATACCATAAAAATGCCCTGTGAAAGCAAAGAGAGGAGATGGTGACACCTATTAAAGTCTTTCATTTTGCTTTTTGCTGGTAAACTTCAAAGTCTTTGGGAGATATTTTTAATAGAAAAAAAAAAATACAACTTTTCTTTAGTAGGATGATGTCTTTCAGCAGTGGTTGTTTTGTATGTGTGTGCAGCTATACATACAGCAGTGGTAATGGGGGAGGTTTGGGGCAACTTCCTGCTCTGTTTGTCAACGTCTCATTGGAGGACTAGTTCTTTCCTGCTTTGGCACTCCAAAGAAAATAGTGTGAGTAGATCACATGCATTACAAAAAGCCTGATATACATACAGATTGAAGCAGGCAACTGCTTATAAACCATGCAGTTTATTAGGGAGACTAAATTCATAGGCATTTCAGAAAAAAAAACAACACAAAAACAAAACAACAAGCCAGGAGTTAATCAGATACAGTACTGTTATAGGCATTTGTCCACCTGTAAATTAACACCAATGAGACTTAAACTGCAAAAATTGAAGAGAAATAGTTAAAAAAAAAAAAAATACAAGTTGAGATCTTGGATTAAGCGTGTCATTTCCTCTTTTCCCCTAGCTCTCCAGTGATTCTTCCAAGTAACGTAGATTTACTCTTCTGCTTGTGGCTTTTTATTAAATCTTCAAACAAGTCTTTCTTCCTCAGAACTGGTGACCTCTGAGTATGAGTGAACATCCCTGAAAAGCGATATCAAAACACATATAAGTAATTAATTTCAAAATGACCAAGAGCTGCTGAGTGCTCAGTTTCTAACATTCATGTTTCCTCTATCTTTAGCTGTTGCTGTCCCAGTATTCTCAGTAGTAACTGCATGTTGTAGCCCCAAATCTCTCATTTTGGTGACAGTTGTGTTTCTCCATTTGCAAGTTGCATTTCACAGACAAACCACTCTGGTCTTTCCCTTCATTTTTAGCCTTCCTATAGAATTTTTCCCACTTGTAATTAGCAGGGTTAGAGTTACCTGTTAGAGTCCACACAATCTTACAAACTCATTGGCTTATTGTTGACCTTTCTGCACAAAGATCTCTTTTACTATTTAGTAGCAAGTTTATTATTTCCTTGAGGACCTATAGAATATTTTCTTAGCAACAATCTCTAAGAGCTAACAGAGTGGCTTTATTAATTTTTGACATGTTAGCCTTCTGAAAAAGTAACTGATTAACACAATATGCATTTACTTACCAGACCTCAAATACTTAATACAGCAGTCTTTCTCTCTACTCTCCTTAGCACCCTAGCAGAACTAAGACAACAAGTTGTTTATCCTTGGCAGTTGGGATATGTGCAAGAGCTCATCTGAGCCAAATTACTTGCACCTGTGAGAGAGGTGCACAGCTGTTGTCACTCTGAGCGATGAGGTAATAGAGAGACTGCTGGGTGAGGAGGAGAGAGGCAGAAAATTGGTAGAGAGTATTTTTTAATTTGTAATCTTCAATTATTTATGGTATTGTGCTATGCATCTTGAGGAGAGTCTTGTACAGCAGCTCTTCATAAAGATTTACTGTAAGTACAAAAGCTTTATTTTCCTTGTGCATTTTTTTCAAGTTTTACTTTGTTTGTTGAAAGTTGATGTAGCTGTGATGTATCTAACTGTATTGCTCTGTTGTAATGTATTAAGTGATTTTTTTAAACTTGTTTTTTTTTGTTTTTTTTTTTAGTATTTGTGTTTTGGGAAAGGAAGAGAATGGTTGATTAAAGATATGTTGGTCAGATAACTAAAGGATTTTCCCTGTTTAATTTAAAGATGGCTAGTGCTTCTTTGTAGACTGTCAAGGGAGTTTTTATGCAGTTAATTTAAGTAGGGTTTCAGGAAATTGGGATAGTTTGTCAGATAACAAAAATCAAAATTGCTGTATTTGAGTTGTGTTTTTTGTGGATTGTGTGGAGTATCTGTAGACCTATTGGTAGCTATGATCAGGAGCCAAGCAGGGCTGATCTGGTTCAGAAAACAGTGTTTAAAACTGTAAGCCTGAAACTGAGCTAGTTCTACCAGTGGCATAGTACATAGTCAGACAGACTTGTTTTCCCAGAAGGCAAAGTTTGAAGAACTGTGGAGGTGCTTATTAGATGTGTTGGAATAGTTCTGTTTATTGCTACTTGCAAGCTTTACCAAAGATTTTCCTAGTTTTCTTGGCTTTGCAGGTTTGTTTTGCTTTTTTGTTTTGATTTGTTTTATATCAAGCTTAGTTCTTGCTACTTCCTGCTACTGAGAGTCGGAACTAGGTGATCTTTACAGTCCCTTTTGGCCCAAGCCATTTTCTGGTTCTGTATTGCTCAATCTTCACAATGATCTCATGGGATTTGTCTTCTAGTTCAGAAATCTGTCAGGATGACAATAATGATACTTTAACACCAGCATTTCTGTGCCAAGTCCAGAGCTGTCTTGTTTTTTCTAGTTCAATATGCTTGAAGAACTACAGTGTATGTAACTTACAGATTATTTCTGGTTTATGATGGTTTGCCATTCAAAAAATAATTAAAATGCAGTTGTTATAAATGCTTAAGATGAAAAAAATTTCAAATAAAGAAGTTACCAACAGTTGCAGAAATAACAGCACTGGTTGACCCTTCTAAAACTAGCCTACTGAAACCAATTCATACCTGCCCATGTAGATGTGGAATGGAGAACACAAAGCCATCCAAATGCAGTTAATGCTACTCTTTGAGATGAGAAAACAGGCTTGTACATATCCTTGCATTACATAATAAGTAGTAATTCAATTTCTCATCGCTTTCTAGGGTGTGATTTATCTCTGCAATTATTGACAATTGATTTCTGCTTTCACTAAGCAAGGCGGTAGGGTCAAGGCTACAAAGATTAAAACAGCTGACTTTGTTAAGAAACTGGGAGACTTGAATGAGAGGTTAGCTAGCTCCTCGAAGAAATAAAATTTAGTCAACTCTGCTATAAGGTGCCTGCTTTCAACTGATGATAATCGATTGTGCAGTGAAACCAGACCAGCTGGTTGCGATTTACAAAACAAAGAAGTCAAAGAATGGGAGAGAAGAGGGGAGGGAGGGAGGAGTTTGTGTTTCTCTTAAAGTATGAATCTTTAGTAGTATCTTAAGATCCCTTTGTATAAGAGTAAACAAAAGTTGGTATTAATCACAAAACAAAAATCGTACTTCAAAAGATATCATGCTGTTACTCTAAATCTTGACTACTAGTTTGAAGACTAGTTGTTTATTGAGGAAAGTAAAAGAGTGATATGAGGAGCCAGTGGCAAAGAAAAAGCTCAGGGAACTTAGGCAACAAAATTCAAAGCTGTAATCCTGGGGAAAAGACAAAATTCATCAGCTGCTTTTGCCTGATTGTTCTCCCAGCTTTTAAAAGACTCATGAGGCAGCAGTGCTAAAGCTACATTCTACTTACACCTAGAAGTGCAAGTACTGGCCTTACCAGGACAGCAGTTTGTTTCTTTTGTGAGATAATGTTTGTTTGATTCAGCTTTGTAACTGCTGCTGCACAAGTTCCTCTTCAGTCTGGGGGGATTGACTCAAACACAGCTCCCGTCTGCTACCTTAATGGCTAAGATACTCTTTGTAAGTAATGGGTGTAAAGGACTTCTTGATTCTTCTTATTGAGTCCTATGTTCCGATACACACGCACACATAATTAAGATCTGTGGGTAAGAGCTGGACTGTCCAGTGGTATAGTGTCACTGGGACAGAAAAAATGCTAATTTCACATTCTTCTTCAGAGACATCTGAAGAGGTAACTGCCTGGAGAGATTCTTTGTTATTATTTGTATTCTTTGTTATTCTTTGTTATTCTAATCCTAGTAATTTATACACTGATTTAGGAAGTGGTGATAAGGATCTGAATCCTTTCAAAGCGTAGCATTGTCCCTTTCTGAAAGATAATCTTTTCCAGGAAAGATGTACCTACTGGTAGCAGGATTAGAACTGAAGCCTTGTAGAAAAATGAGATTTAGAAAAAGCTGTGCTATGTTTTTCCATTGGGAACGGGGAAGCTAAGTGACATGCTACCTTTTGTGGATCCTACTGTACCAGCTCTTGCCTTACTGCCTATGGAGATTCTTTCTTTAATTCTGTGGATTCTGCTCTTAGGTAGGGAACCTAGTGATAAGGAATTGCAGCACTTTAGTGTCATAGATCCTGTTCTTCCTGAATTTACAGCTATGTCTGAAAGCCTGCTTGCACCTGAGTGCTAGCTTTGTTTCCGTTACATGTTGGACCAAGTTACCTAGAAATATGACCATGTAGTTGCTGATTACGAAATGGCAATTAAACATATCCTTACTCTTCTGCTGAAGGAGTGCTGCTCTCCCCAGCAGCAGCAGTATGACTGTTCCTGGACTAACGTACTTCTCAGAATGAGGAACTTGGCACTTGCCTGTCTGTGGCACAATACTGATTAAATTGCTGGTGTTGAAGAATATCTTTGTTCAGTTGCTGAGCTGCTGTCTTAGTTTGAGTCCTCCAGTGTTTTATTTTCTACTCTTGCCTTTTCTGCCCAACTCTCATAAAATGGAACTCTAATGACAGCTTTTAAGTCTCCATTATTAGAAAATCAAGAATTTTTTTTTGCTATTACCGCACAGCAATATAAGCCTACATTTTCATCCTTTCCTGGACTGTTTACTGCCTGTGAGATATATTAAAGGAGTAGTAACCTTGGTTTCGCCCTGTGAACTGAGAAGGTAGAGTAGTGATCCTCTGCCGACCTTCTGCGAGCTGTCTTCTTCCTAGGCCGTGGGTTCTGGAGAGCACACAGTCCACATAAATATCCCAGAATAGCTGAGCCAGGTCCCAGAACAGAGCCCCATGTTTCAAGTTTTCTGATGACTTCAGGAAGATCATGAAGTCCCAAAAGCCACTGACAGAGTCAGAAATGCGAGGCTTCCTCATCTCCAGTAAGACAACTGAGGAGGATTCCCAGCACTGAGGGTCTGCTCGCCCAAGAGCCAGTGGATCAATCTGGCTATGGCAGAGGGAAGGTGTCACACACAACATTCCCATGACTAGCAGAGAGTAGGTGAGCCTCATGTTGCACTGGATTCTCCCTCTGTTACCAAAATCCATTGTGTCACTGAAACATAGTAAAACCAGTATAACTTAAACTTATCACCATTAGATTCAGGAACAAAGCCCTGTGCCTTACACTACATAGAAGGCACTTGATGTTGATAGTAGTTTATCTTTAAAAATCCAAATATGCTTTCTTGTATAAATACAGTGGAATTGCATTATTCTGTGCTGCAGAAGCATGTGTTAAAACTGTTACGGTTGTTAACACAGATCCCTGTGATAAACTCATTTATCTCTAAGTTCTTAGTATTGAAAGTTTTTGGCAGATGTGCAGATCCTTAAACTTTTCCAGTAAAGATCTATTCATTTTTGTCTCTTGAAAGTCTTGCTTTTCTCCAAGTCCTTTAGAATAGTCTGCAGACTCCCAGTGATCTGCAGGTGCAGGCAGAAAACTGTTGAAAGCATGTTCTAATGAGTTAATGGTAGTTTGCAAAATCATCCATTGAGCAGGAGTGTTTTACCTGCTAAAATGCAGAATAATTCTGAAAAGAGGGTATAGCAGAGACATAGTACAGCATCTGTATTGTACAGCATGTATATATGAATGTATTCATGTATAAATGTATAGATGCTTCAGGATGTGAGCGTTTCACATCCTGAAACTTCATGAGCAGCAGCAACACGGGGAGAAATCTGGAGAATAATAACCTTCTGGGGACAGAAAGGCCCAGTAGTCTTCATCAGATTTCATTTATAGCACCTGCTTCTGTTGTGTACTTTCTAACATGTTGCTAGTGTTATTTCTGATGTGGAACAAGTTTGGGGTTTATTCTCAGTTTAGATCATGGTGTGAGGAGAGTATCCTGTTTGTAGAAACCAGCATCTGAGTTTTTAGCACAAACATCTCTGTTTAAAAGCAACAACTCACCGTGTTGTGGTCTTGGTTTGATTAACCAAGTAACTGGTTGTGGTTGAGGTTTTTTTGCTTTTAATGGAGAAAGGACAAGCTGCCTCTTTTAACCAGCTTAACTTAATCAGCAACTCTTCTAAAACAAAAGCAGTGTCTTTCTACTCTACGAAGAAAGATGTCAAAGGCAGATGTGTGCACACAAAGAGGTTGTGTGTGTGTGAAAGTAGCCTGGCCACAGCCTGTGTGCAAGACCAGGGAAGGCTAAGCTGCTTTTTTTGAGCATATATTATTGCAGGTCTGAAGGACTCTTGTGCGATTTCAGTCCTGACAGTGATGATCTTCTCTAGCACCCAGTCTGCTTCCATGGTCAAGTTCTGAGGACTTTGGAAGTATTTAATTGTAAGCAATTGGAGAGTAAACTCTCTATTCAGTTTGAATTAGGATCTAGTGAGGAAAGTTGACTTGACAGCCTTGAATCTCAAACTTGCATTTAATGAAGAGGGATAGAATGCACTTCCGATGCTTCTCGGACGGTTGCTCGTAACAGCACCGACCTTGTGCACCTACCAGGATCTCCAGAAGTGTAATTCCCCTGTACTTACTGCTCAAAGCAGATTTGGATTGCTTTTTGAGAGGCAAATCTGAGGATGTGCTGTGAGTCACTACTTCATTCCCCCTAGTGGTGCCCTCGCAACGGGCAGCAGGAACCTGTATGTGTGCATAGATCTGCTTACCTCGACTTTTTAGAGGGGCATAACTAACTTAGCCTGGTAAGGTTGCTTTTAAGAAAAACTTGGAAGAAACCTAATTTAAGAAATAACTGAAGGAAACCTATGCAAATAGTTCAGATTAAGGAATTACACTGAAATTGATTAACTGTCATTTGGACAGGGGCTATATCATCGGCTGCTTTGCCTTCCCCCTCTCCCTCTAATCCCCTTTTGGAAACATTCTAAATTACAGAGCCGGGCAAGACGAGAGACTCTGGGCTCGTCAGAGGCAAAAAAAAAAAAAAAAAAAAAAAAAAAAACCCCAAACAAAAAACAACCCAACAACCCCAAAGCGGCTGCTGTAGGCAGGGAGCTGGGAGGCTGTGCCGTTCGAGGCGTGGTGTGGGCAGCGCTGAGCAGGGCCGATACCAGCCCTGCTGCTCCTTGCGTGCTGGCCGAACTTAAGGAGCATTTCTGTCAGCCAGCCTTCTGCAAGCCTCGGCATCTATTTTAGTAGCCAGGAGCTGGAGAGGTGCTCACGAAATAGCGTTTCATTAGCGCCTTGCCTATGCTCACTCCAACTTTTAGGATCAGTCTGTCCATAAATTTCTTTCATGTGTGGGTGCTGTTTACACCTCGCTGCTCTCTTTTTCTCCTCGCTAACTGACCCCCCATCCTGCCTCACATAATGAATAGTGCCGTACAATAAAGGAAAAAAAAGTTAATTATGTCGTTGGTTATCAGCGTCCCCCTGGCTGGAGCTCCCAGTTAGGACCGTTCACCCGATCCCGGAGCGTAAAGACGCCGCAGCCGGCGGCAGGGATCAGAGCGCGGTGGGACCGCCCGCGGGCGCCTCCCGCCCCAGCCCTGCCCGGCCGCCCCGCGCCCGCCGCCGCCCGCAGCTCTTACTTACCTCGGCGCTCCGGCGAGCAGGGCGGGCCGGGCAGGGCGCTTTCCGCACCCGCCGCCGCGCTCCTTAAGAAGCCGGGGCGGGCATCCCGGCTTACTTTCTACGTCAGGACTCGGGGAAAAGCCCCCACCCCCAGAGCCCTGGCCGCTGTTCCTGGGCACTCGCCGCTTCTTCCCTCCCCTCCGCGAGAAAATGGGCTGCTATAAGGCGTGCTCCACTCCTCTGCCCCGCGGGAGTGGGCTGTCGGTGAAGAACGGTTCATAGCCGGTACTTGCCCAAGCGCAGCCCTTTCCTTGTCGTCTCTCCCAGCAGTGATGTACTGAGGGTAAGAAGGAGGTCCCCATGCTGGAGCTCCAGTTGTCTGGACCAGGCTCAGCCACCAAGTCATCATCTTCACTGTGCGTGGCTGCTGGAGGTGTCCCCTTCCTGTCCTCCACCCTTCTCTCTGGGGAAGGATTCTTGCGGCACATCTAGTGATATCTGCTGCCTGTGTTTCAGCTGTACAGCAGCAGGTCCTGCTCTCCTGGGCACCCAGGCGGAGATCCTGAAAAGAGCCCAGTAAAGGAATTAACTGCAGCCACGAGGCTGAGCTGCTGGTTGCAGCTCAATTCACACAAGCCTATGTAAATGAGAGCCACCCAGGCTGTGTGCCCTCCAAAAGGGCAGGGCTCGGGCTACATTTTTTTTCCGCATAAAATTATTAACAATGTGATCTACTGCTGTTGTACTTCCTCTCTGTGAGGTTCTCAGCTGTATCCCGTTTCTACTGTGCTCAGCTCTGCAAGTGGTAACTCTACCAGTGCTCGGTGTGTGCGCTGCAGCTGTCCCACGATGTGCATAATCCACACAGTACAAATAGCTGGTGCTCCAGGATCAGGCTACTGACCAATGTCCAACTTCTAGCTACCTGAAGTAAATAGGGCGAGTGACATTGTTCTTCTTCATAACTCTGTGTTGTCTCCAGGCCAAATTATGTAGCATGCTGCTGGCTGTCTGAAGTCAGTGCAGCTGCACCAATCCATACCAACTGGGAAGCAAAACTAACTGGCAGCTCCTTTCTGTCGTGGTGCTTTTAACCATAATTCTTTCTCCATGAGAACCTGTGCCTCAGTAGCATCAGGTTTATCTTTGAAGTCAGGGGGCCATGCTATTTTATACCAGCTGAGAAGTTGGCCTAAAGCAGTGATTGTTTTTTTCTGTTACTTATCTGTATACTTATAATTTGCATATTTCTGTGAATTTAGTTCATAGAAATGGAGAAGCACGTTCTTTTACTAACTCATAATTTTACAACATCTCCATAAGAATAAACAGTTATTATTCTGGTGCTTTATTTCTTTCTCAGTCTGATTCAATCCATGTGAGAGTGAATGGTGTGTAAAATGTATTCTTTCTTAATATAAGCAAAACAAACTTCTGAGTAGTGAGAAAGCATCTGACCTGAACCAATAGTTAACCATATTTGTAGGACTTTGGCAAATTTGCAGATGTTCCATTTATTTTTTTCAAGAAGTGTTGAGTTGTGAATGAGGAAATGGGAGGCACCAAATGCTAACAGAGACTTCAAGAGGCAGCAAAGTGCAATACCTTGCCTTTGAGACATAGAATCATAGGATGGCCTGGGTTGAAAAGGACTACAGTGATCATCTAGTATCAACCTGCCTGCTATGTGCAGGGTCACCAACCACTAGCCCAGGCTGCTCAGAGCCAGGTTCAATGTGGATTTCGATTACCCTCCTTCATAATTTGTTGAGTTGTGGGGGGAAAAAAAAAAGTGTAACACCTGATACAAGAGGGAAGGTCTCTTATTCCATGACGGAACTCCAATATTTCTGCTTTGTACTGTTATCAAGCACAGGCTATTCCAGAAGCCTGTTTTCTCTCAGGTTCTGGAAATAAAGGGATCCTCAAGCATTTTTAAAGTCAGCTCTGTAGGAACTGACTTTGCGCCCTTGTGCTTTCTGGAGCCCCCTTGGCAAGTGGAAGAATTGAATAACAAGCATGTTTCTCTTAGCTTTTGTGTGTGAGGGTTGAGCTGGTTAAGGGAAAATAGAAAGCTTTGCTGTAAGATGTGGGTGTTGTGATGCAACTTGAAGGCAGCCCCAGAGTAGTAAAGGTTCTGAGGCTCCTCATGTTTATTGTTGGCCTGGGCACAGAAGACCCGATTAGCATAGGACTAGGTGCTATAGAAATGTTTTTTACTTGCTCTGTAGATCTGTGGTGAAGTACTCTAAGGGCTGCACGTTTGCTGCGGAGTGTAAAGTAAAAGGCTGTAACTGTAAAAGAAAATGCAGAATGTTTCTTGAGAGTTGATATGTTTCTGCCAAGCTGGAACCTTTCTGGATTCATTGTTAAGAAGTGAGTTTATTTAATTGGGTTCCCTTCTGAGGAGCACTTTATCTAGTTTTGGACCAAGAACAACACTGGTTTCATTCCATTCAGAGTCTTTCAGGTAGACTCAAGGGTGCTGAACTAGGTGTTCTCAGAGAAATGAGAGTCACTGCTCAAGGGAAATACTGCTCCA